GAGTATATACGAAAAATATTTTAAAATCTTCTTCTCAAGAACCACGGGGCCAGAAAGATGAAACTCATGTGGAATCATCCTCAGGTAGTATAGATTCAAGATTGTAGAAATCATGATCCCTGGGGGTAGGGTGGGGTCAAAATAGCCGATCAAATTTTTACATAGGAATATATAGGAAAAATCTTTAAAAATCTTCCTATCAAGAACCACTGGGCCAGGAAAGATGAAACTCATGTGGAATCATCGTCAGATAGTGTAAATTTAAGTAAGTTCAAATCATGACCCCCGGGGGTAGGGTGGGGCCAAAATGGCCGATCAAAGTTTTACGTAGGAGTATATAGGAAAAATCTTTAAAAATCTTCTTCTCAAGAACAACTGGGCCAGGAAAGATAAATCTCATGTGGAATCATCGTCAGGTAGTGTAGATTCAATTTTTTAAGTTTGTTCAAATCATGACTCCCCGGGGGTAGAATGGGGCCAAAATGGCCGATCAAAATTTTACATAGGATTATATAGGAAAAATCTTTAAAAATCTTCTTCTCAAGAACCATTGAGACAGGAAAGATGAAACTCATGCGAAATTATCCTCAGGTAGTGTAGATTCAAGTTTGTTCAAATCATGAACCCCGGGGCTAGGGTTGGGCCAAAATGGCCGAATAAAGTTTTACATAGGAATATATAGGAAAATCTTCTTTTCAAGTACTTCAAAACCATGATTAGTAATATTTATAAGGAATCATCCTCAGATAGTGTAGATTCTAGTACGTTCAAATCATGATTCCCTGGGGTGTTAAAATTCAACCCCCCACCCCCACCCCCACCCTAACCTCAGTAAACTTTCAGTTCTGATCTGATATGTGCTTTTTCCTAGCCGATGTGCTCAGGTGAGCGCTGTGGCCCCTGGGCCTCTTGTTTAGCATTGGAGTAGTGTTTATCAGTTAAGATAAGGGTTTTAATGGTAATTGCATTTTAATAAGGAGGAAGATTTCAGAGGCATCACAGCTGGAATCATAGACTTAGGAACCAGAGGGTGCGGGGAGTAGTTGATAGTGCCCCCAACCGATATTGCTTTCTGCGGGCCTGTGAATTAAAAACTTAAATAGATGATAACGCCTTAAGCTATAGGACATCTCTCCAGCATCAGGTTTGCGCATCGACCCTTATAAAGCAATTTAATTTGGAGGACGTGCAAAAAAGACGATTTCTGACCACACGTTTACTAACATTCTTATTATGTTCCCCAAACGAAGTTGGGGAACATATTGTTTTTACTCTGTTTCTTATTATTATTTTTCTTCTTCCTGGGTACTTATTTGTCCGCGAATGATCTTGTAAACTGTTCATCTGATGTAAGTAAAATCTTTTTAGGGTAAGTAGACATGTTATGTAGATTTGCGGAATCAAGGTCATTTTGCGCGCACGTGCTTGCAAGAGCGCGCACGTGCAACATGTAAAATGACCAATATAATTGATATAGCCGTAACTTTTCTATTTTCTGATGAAATGTGTTGAAACTCAGAATATAAGAATATATTAGTATTATAGACAAGAGGACATGGTCAAATTATCATGAACTCACGCGCATGCACGTGTGCTTCGCTCTGATTGGCTGAAACAAAAATCTCAATATCTTATTCGTTTTTTGACGAAATACTTTGAAATTTCAAACATGGTAATGCATTAAGATATCCTACGATATGATGAAAATAGTCTTAATGAAATCACGCGCATGCAATCTGATTGGCTAAAACTTTAAATGCCTATAATTCCCTTGGTTTTCAGCCAAACAGTATGGGATTTAGAACATAGATAGTCTTAATGGACCCCTACAAAAGGGTATAGTCATCATGCACATGCATGCACGTGCGTGCACGTGAAATACGTATAATTACAAACGCACTTGATTTAGCATATTTTCGAATACTTTTTGATTACATGCCTTGATATTAAGTATATTAAAATAAATTAATACTGTAGATACAATGATATGGTCATTTCGCATATGCATGCAAGTGACACACGTGCAATACAAAGATTTGCTATATACTTGGTATACTTTAGGAAAAACGTTGTTTAAGTTTAAGATGCATAGGGTTTAGTTTATTTAATGAAGCTTAGAGGGAATGAGGCACCAAAATGAAGTTGTGGAGCGTTTGGGGAACATCTGTAACGGTTCCCGTTACAATTAGCACTAGTTGTATAAGTGTTATTGGCAAAATAATCAGGAGAGCAAATTCAACTTTCAACTTATTTGAGACAAGATATTCTGTGATTGATATTAAAAGACCCCTGAAGCTCTTCGTTCAAAATATTAGAGACCAGGTCTTCCATGACTTACTTGGAATTCCTATGGGAACTAATTTTGTTTATTTACATGTATATGCCTTCTCTTTTAACATTCACATGAAGAATTTATTCAAAAACGTCTTCTTTAAAAGACAACTCTTACTTTGGGCATCATTGAGACTCTAAAAATCAATCCATAGAAAGAGTTACAAGCAATAATTTTATATGTCTTTTCCATATATCCAAACGAAGTCATTAATAACACAGAGTCTACATGTCTTTCATAGATATTAACTTCAGGACCAACTAACATCTGTTCAATAAATGAAATGTCTTTAGTTTTTTTATTGTCAACTTTTCTTGTATGTGCTTCCATTTCACAATCATATGAATTAGGTGCTTTTATCTCCGAACTTATTCAATACTCAAGAGCATGCTCTAAGTAAGATCAATTTTTAAAGCGAAGAAGGATTCTGACAAATAAATGATAAATAAATCGACTTCATTTAAAGTTTGCATAAAATTTGGTAAGTCCAATGGTTGTTAATATGACTTTCTTAGCAAAAATATGCGTAACATCGATTTTTGATTGACATTTAATGCCAATTTTTAAGCTTTTGTTTTGTGGTCATTTAAGTCAGGATAAATCCGTATTCTTATACCTGATGAGTACATAAGAAAGACTCACGGCCAGTATGTCTGAACGTCACGGAATTTTGGGTTCTCCTTCGCACCTGATCTGCTCTTGAAATTCAACATGTCCTTGTTGTTTGCCTCATTGTCGGATTAGTATAGTTTTTCAAGTGTAAGTGAGATTAATCAATGTTTGTTTTCTTCACCTAGTAGTATTTCTTTTCTTTACTGTAATTTTTTTTTAAAATAATGATTTTAATTAAATAAACTTAAAAACCTATTCTATAAAAAAAAAACTTTTTTTCATAAAAGATAATGAAGTTACACTTACATGGTCTACACTCAACACAATTTTTGCACAAATGCCTTGAATTTCAAGTTATGAAATAACAACCGATTTTTTTTTTATTTAAAGATATCTTCCGAGAGTGAGGGTTTCTGTTGTTCACAAAAAGTGTGGCCTGATTCTTAAAATATATTTTAAAATAAATCCATATTTAGGGAAAAGTCTGTCGATATTTACGATGTGTTTTCTGTTCTGTGAGAGGCGTCATAAACCATTAAATATGTAGACCACTTGGAATTAAGGCAAGTCGATGGTAATAGAAATCCTTTAAATAAATCATTATTTTTGGTCCATCAGGAAAAAAATACATTAATAAAAAAGGTAACCTGAATCAAAATGTTGCTTGCATTTCAAAGGTTGTAGGCGATTTTATTCATTGATAAAAGAAAGCATAGTATTTGGATGGAAAGTATCTTACATTTTTTTTTCTTTACACCAAAATGCATTTTAGCCGCAGGTTGTTAAGTTGATAACAAAGAATTTTGTCATTATGCATTCGATAGCTAGGCTTTTTTTTTTTTTTTGGAATAACGAAAATAGTGTTTTCTGAATATTTCTCTTCTACGTATACATTAAGATATAAGCTTTTGTTTGTGTGTACTACTGATTATGATTAAAAGTTTAAAAATGCTAAAGTATATCTAATAAAAAGTAAGTTATATATCTTGGGATATAATGCTTTCCAGACATGAAATTAATAATTTGGTATTTTTTCAAGAAATCACATTCTTATCAAAATTGACATATATTGATCATTGCGCTAGACACTTAATATAGCTTGTCAATTAACAGCAAGACATAAACAAACCAAACTACTGGAAAGCCCCTATGTCGATATCGTTTCTGAAATAGGAAATACAATCCAAAAAAGAACTCCATTGACATAAAAGATAAGTTGGACTGCTTTCAATTGATGTTTGATGAGATATTTTTGATAGACCGACAACTTTCTATGAACAAAGTCATATATTTCGGGACTTTACGACTCTTCTCCGCCACCCTCCCAAAAGGAGCAGGTGCGTTTTTCCCATTTACAAGAACAATTTGATAGCTTAACGTATTAGAAAAGAAATAGTCTATCCTAATCGAATATTAAGCGTGAGAAATTGACTTATTTTTTTGAAGGAAAAAAGGTCGGCGTTTCTGGATAATTTGACTGCTTGAGTATTTGTTTCCATGACCAAACCTGAACTTGCATAATGTAATTTCCTCGATGGTCGTGGATTCCTGCTTATTTGACCGGCGACTAGAAACTATGTAAAGAGTCCACAAATGTATGCATATTTTACACCGAGTTCGCGTGAGTAAATTCCGGTACTCTTGGATTGAAATGCTTTACCTGGAAGATTACAGAGTGGTGTATGCTTTCCGTACAATTAGGAAATTGATTTCCATTTGAGACGGAATCAACTCGGAGTGGCGATCGCCCATTCCTCCCAATGATTCATTAATAGACAGGCAGACTGCTCTATTTCGTTTATCCGACAGCACTGCATGCCCTTACTATAAGGTATACATAAACTTTTTCTAAGTATTTTATAAAGTTGAAAAGAAGTTATTTTTGACGATTATTTTTTCGTTCAAATTTAAAAATTTTTTATATAATAACAAAACAAATGAACTGTATTTTTATTATTTTCCATGCAAAAATTTAAATTAATGAGATGGGTTTCCTTATTCACCTTTGATATTTTGAAAAAGTTTTAAAATTCGCAATCTGATAAATATCATTGTCTTTGAAAGTATTCTTTCATTGTAGTAAAAGATTCATTCATGACTCTGACAATGTCGGTTGAGAGTCCAGATTCTGGGAAATACGTTGTATATACCGTTACCTCGGACGAAAGCAGCACGGATTTAGAAGATGGACACGTCAATTTCAAAGACAACGAAACTGACTCTCTTAACGGAAAGCAATCACCATCACATCGACCTTTGAGGTCATTCTCATCAGATTCTTCCAAGTGGAGTTCATTTTGGTCAGCAAGAGAAAAATGTTGTTGCCTCTGGAATATTGCATTTATCATGGCCATTGGTGCTCTCGTGTTTGTTGTTGTGTACCTAACAAAGAGAGGCCCGAATAACCCTTCGTTTGATACAAATTACACCCGGAACCCCAAGGGAACATTCTATGTGAGTACGATGTCTCCAAAGGATTCCGATTCCGAATCAAAACAGGTATATTATTCTTAAAACATAAGTATGTAGAAAATCAGATCATAAAATTAAGATATGCTAGATTGAGATTTGCTTAAATATCTGTTCTTACTGTGGTAAAGCGAAGCCATAATGTGTATTCCTCTGAGAACCATATATTCATCAATTTTACATTGTCTTCGTTCAAGAGAAAATGAAGTAATACATGTGTAGTTTGCATTAATCGTGGAGCGAATTTGCATGCATTAAATGGCTTATATTAATGAGACTGGTGGCTCTGGGAAACCACAAATGGAAATTGAATCTTTTTAGGGAAGTAAATGCAGTTTACGTCCAATGTAATTTGATTTACATTTTGAATTTAATAAGTGAAAGGAAATTGTGAAAGCACACGTAATGAGAGAACAAGATAATTGTCGCAAAAGTATAATCAAATTACTTTCACATTTAATTAGCTCAACCAAACATCAGAATTAAGAACAATTGGGCAAAGTAGAACATGATTTGAAAACAATGATTCCATCCTCGTATATGAACTTCGTGGCCCATTGGTCACAAATAGATTTAAAATGGTATGACCCTAGGTAAATGAAAACAGCAACAATTAAAGACAAGACAGTCTTTATATGTTTCTTTGTTGCTTTACGTCCTTCTGGAGAATTTTCACTTATCTAAGACGCCATCACTTGCTGATGAAGGGCTGCAAATTAAGTCCTTTGCTTAGCTCTCATTGAGCAGTCAGGGGTTTTTTTCGTACCAACACCCAACTGCGATACGGGAACTCGGATTATACGGTCTCATCCAAAGGACCGGTCTTCACGTTGTGCATTGGGATTCGAACTGTGGCTTAAGGATAAAATCCGTAGTCAGCAACTAAACCTCTGTGCCAATCAGGCGACATTCTTTACATGTTAGCAACTCCAAGTTAGAAATATGAAACTTGAAGAAAGGATAAGATTTGATTAATGAGGAATATTTTATCTTTATGAACTTTGTTAATTTATCTTATGGATTTATTAGGACCAAAAGGAAGATATATTAAGCTTCGTTCAATTATTCCCACTTTTACATTTCGTTATCTTGATGGAAATGTTTGTATTTACTGAATGGAAAAAGCTCGTTGCCTTCAGAGGGAAAAAACGAAATGCTAGATTTCTATTGATCTAGAGAGAGAAAAATGAATATATATCTTGTAATTGTGAAAACAGTAATTAACCTAATGGGTATTTCTAAGGTCCAGTGGAATGATACAATTAATAGGCTTTTCTTTACAATATCTGACGTGATTATTCAATATTTTTAACGTGAAGTATGAGCCATCATCTAAATGTGTATTTAAGCTTTTATTTTTGTGTTACAGTTTACTGTAGATCTTTTAAAGCTTTGTGATTTACTTTCTTAGGCGGTTTATTTGTGGGGGTTTTAGGTTGTGGCGCAATCATGAAGTTTTAGTAAAGGCTTTTATTATTTTTAAGTTTAAAACACGTGGATATGAAGATTATTTTTAATGAATGGAAACTGAGAGAAAAATAACAAAACCCAAAACCCACATTTTATAAAAATATTACCGCTTTGAAATATTTTGGAATCGATATATCACTACATTTAACCAATTCCATTCACATGTAAGTTATGGACCATTTTTCTTAATTTTACTAGAAGTTATTTTTATCACAATATAAAGAAAATTATAAAATGATGCATGATGATAAATTACTAGTATTTACTTTTTCTGATAATTTGTGTTTTTCTTCCTAATACATGATACAAAGATAGTATTTAAATTTTTTTTTGAGAACTATGCATAAATACGATTTTATATGAACTATTATAAGCCATCTTAAATCGTTGCTTATTGTCATAATTGTTTTGGTGAAATCGACTTGAACTTCAGTGTATAGTTTTACTTTACTTAAATGAAGTTTATCCACAAACTGGGATAGCTCATCAAAGCGGAGAGAGCTAAGTAAAGATTAATTTATTTACTACTTCTGACTATTGTTCTATACAAACAAGCACGCCCATAGGGTTGTTTCAGTAAGTGTTATTCATGTATTATCCTCATGGAGACAACTGATAGTCATATCAAATGTCAAAACTGTTAATCAGTTGTTTATTTCTTCCTTTGAGATATTAAGATAATCTGAGCTCATAGAAAATACGTCTATGTCATGTTCAGTACTCAATGTCTTAACAAGCTTGCTTTCTTATGATTGCATCGTTTTGGATATAAATCTTCAAACATTATAATGATTTATAATCCTTAAACTCGTAGTTATTCTTGATAATGAAGAAAAGTATGGAGAGATTAATTACACAACAACCATCTTCTTGTGTGGGTTTTAACAAACGACATTTTACAGACATCTGGAACAACAGTAATTGCACAAAATTAAGCCTGCCAATGTTCTCCATCATTGGCATCTTTTGCTTAAACCTAATATTCTTTGCATTGCTTCTGCGAGATGAAAATTTAATAACTTGGCATCAAGGACGAACGTTTGGCAATGAATGATGAACTTAATAACACCTTTCATTTACAAACTGGGTTTTGTCTTATCATTGATGCAAAATTGATTACATCTTTGTGCTTTTCAGCATCCTAAATACATTCGTTTAAGTGCTTCATATGTTGGCTTTTAAATAATAACAAATACCAGCCAACTTATTAAACGCCAGTATAGAATTTGGGCCGGGTCATACCGAGCACGTAGTATTTAACAAAGCTTTTGAATAATTGATTAATTATACGTTTCTTTTTATTTTTATAGATCTGCTACACACCAGAATGTGTTCTCTTGTCTGCAGAACTTCGCTCGCGGATGAATACAAGTGCTGATCCGTGTGAGGTAATAGATATTTTCGCGCGTTTTTTTGTTGATCAGCAACTTTTTTTCCACAGCTTTTCTTTGATCCATCGTGTGCTCAGTGCTTAGCGGTCAGTACGATTTTTTCAAAAAAAAATAAATTACTTTTCTCACTAAATTTGGCAAGGTCTGATTTCCAGTGCCTGACTATACACAATGTCTAAATACACAATTGGTATGACATGACGAACTCTTATTGATCAAGGTTACAACAGAAAAACCTCGACCAATCTTTCACACCTCTATTGTACGATGGCCAGCAAACGTATCGATAACATGATTACCCGTCCTATGGTACACTGGAGCAATTCCCCAAATTTAATATTATGCAGCATTGCTATGATATGGAGATCTATTAATTGCTAGATTTGATGAAAAGCCCTCTTCGTTTTAATTTCATTTCCTCCTATACCATCAGGTGATGGTCAATAATGCTTTATAAAGTGCAATATATGGTGACATATTGTTTGTTAGATCTTTTTTCATTCCTACGAATTTAGTCATTTCTCTTTTTTGGACATTTTTTTTTAGTTGAAACTAATTTATCTCATATATGCATGTACCATTTCTTTTATTACAAACATTATCAAATTAGATACACATTTCGCTTCTAAATTTAATAAAGAAGAAATATATTTAATGGAATATCATTTCTTTTTTATTATCTAGGATTTTTACGAATATGCTTGTGGGAGATACTCAGCTCCATTAACGTGGACAAACCCAAGAGTTCGAGAAGTGCCCGATGCTCTGAAACAAACCTTTACGTCTTCAGTTATAGGTACATGTATGATTTTATTTGGATGCAAAGATTGTATATTAACATGAATTTTATATAATATTATACTTATTAAATATTAAATCGATTTGATACCTTTTTCTAAATCGACATTAGAGAATATTGGGGAAAAAAAATTAACAAACAGAGGGAATGGAATATTTTAACAGAAAATGTTATTTTTTAAATAAAATAAAGATATTTTTTATAAAATATGTTTTATAAAATAAACATATCTGAAATATATAATATATATAAGTACATCAAAGTTGATATAAATGGATGCTGGAGATCAATTCTCCCAACATTTTAATGGATTTTTGATGGGCATTAATTGTGCACCCTTATTATTCAAACTTATTTATATCTATAAAGCTGAATTTATTCAAAATCGTTCACATGAAAGAATTTATTTTTGTTTCATTTAAAATATAAAGTGAGATATGAATTCATCTTATATAAATACGATCTAAAATAAATTACGAAGAGACTACATATATTCTCATTGGATGAATCTAATTTTGATTTTTTTGTTTAGATAAATTATCTGCATCAATTCAAACTCACGATACACCCGGTATGAAAGTAGCAAAAAGAGCATTTCAATCCTGTGTCCTGGCGCCAGAAAGAAATCTACAACAGCACTGTAAGTTTTTGGTATATGTTATATATCAACATACTTACATTAAGGACATTTGTTATAAACAGTTTTTTAAATGTTAAATTAGATTCCAAATTGATGTTTCTAATAGTAAAATGATTTATCTATCTTTTTTTCAAGATATCTCAGTAAATGTTCTGTTGAGTGATAACGGAAAAAAGTAAGAATACAAACATCGAAGCAATTTTACAATTTCATTTAATTTCAAGCGATTCGAATTCGTAACATTTCTTGCATTTTGAGAGTCTTTGAGAAATAGTACATATAGCAATTCAAATTTGAGGCAAGTTTCCAAAACAAGCCTTTTTTTCCATTTCACGATTCCCTGGGTGTTGTTGAAGTTAAAGTTGACTGGAATAATTTTATACAAAAAACTTCATTCCATTAATCTTTTTTTTCTGTGAAATAATACTCGGTTTTGATATCTAAGCTTTCCCATTGTCGATTCATTGCTATTGACCTCTGTTTTAACCTTTAAATTGCTGTTTTTGTTCTTAGCATCATGTCATATGTACAGGATTTTAAGGTCTTTCCACCCTTACAATTTTAATGGCTAAAAGTACAAAAATTGTTATTTTAATTTAATAAAGTTTAAATTTACCAATTATTTTCAAAAATGTATAGGTCGCCATATTATTTAAGATGGGAGACATGAATAAACAGAAGCATATGCCAACATAAGAAATCGTACTTTTTTGTAAACAGTATCATAAATATTATGTAAAAACTGAGTGAAATGCATAATTTTAATGCAAAAAGTTCCTAAATACTTGCTACCTATAAGATACTTTTGAATTGTGAATATCAGGGAAACTATTTTACATGAAAAGTACAATAAAGAAAATGCCTAAAGGAAGCTACATGTACCCGAGCGGGAGTTATTGCCCTTGTCAACATTTTTTAAAGATTGAATAATATATTTATCATTACACCTATGGAAAATCATTCTTCCAAAATATATTGTCCTATTTAGTATGAACTTAATTTAATAACAGTTTTTGCAAAAACCTATGACATCACAGGAGGGTGGAATTACCTTAAATAAACAGACTTCAAATGATATTGTTGCTATAATGGTCGGTTACACCCACTTCTATATACGAAACATCTAATTGCATTTTCTCTTTTAAACATTGAGCATTGTTTTTATCCCTATAACTAGAGAGATTTAGTTGATTTAGAAATAGTTATGATAAAGTGACTAAAAAACCAAATTATAAGCAGGCGAAATCTGATTTGGTCAATTGCTCCTGACAAGTTTCCTCGAAACCGATTTTTTTCATATTTTGTTTTTCTTACCTCTAAAATAAAAAATTCAAGTTTCTTCTTTTACAGTCGAAGAATTGGTCGACAGCTTCGAAAGAGATCCAGAAAATGCTAATTCAGGACATAGACATTCTCTTACCAGACTCCTAGCTCATGCTGTCAAGTTCTACGGGGTATCGCCATTGTTCAAAGTCATACGGTTGGAAAATGACAAGTTAGCTGTAAGTCATTCTTAAGGTATCTGCTTTGGAGCAAGTTGTTAAACTTTTTATGGGAAAATGTTTCTGAAACTATAGAATTTTCATGACAAATTCTTAACATGTTTTGTGTCTGATAAGATAGAGGAAAGAAATTGATTTAGGATTGTTTGTCCATTTTGTATTCGACATCTTAGGTCATCATTTTTTAGCTCTACTGGTCAGAGACCAGAAGAGCTTATGCGATAGTAATGCGTCCGTCGTCCGTCCGTCTGTCTGTCTGTCTGTCTGTCTGTAAACAATTTTTCAAAATGCTACTCCTCCTAAAGTTTTGGTCCGATTTCAATATAACTTGGCACACAAGTAGACTACACTTAGATACATAATTTTGTGCATCGGTTTTTGATTTCGATGAACAGTGTTGCCGTGGTTACTAAAAATAGAAATTTCTGTGAAATTCTTTCAAAATGCCACTCCTCCTACAGTTTTGGTCTGATTTCAATATAACTTGGCACAAAAGTAGACTACACTAAGATACATAATTCTGTGCATCGGTTTTTGATTTCGATTAACGGTGTTGCCGTGGTTACTAAAAATAGAAATTTCTGTGAAATTCTTTCAAAATGCTACTCCTCCTACAGTTTTGGTCCAATTTCAATATTACTTGGCACACAAGTAGACTACACTAAAATACATAATTCTTTGCATCGGTTTTTGATTTCGATGAACGGTGTTGCCGTGGTTACTAAAATTAGAAATTTCTTTGAAATTCTTTCAAAATGCTACTCCTCCTACAGTTTTGGTCCGATTTCAGTATAACTTGGCACACAAGTAGACTACACTAAGATACATAATTCTGTGCATCGGTTTTTGATTTTGATAAACGGTGTTGCCGTGGTTACTAAAAATAGAAATTTCTGTGAAATTCTTTCAAAATGCTACTCCTCCTACAGTTTTGGTCCAATTTCATTATAACTTGGCACAAAAGTAGACTACACTAAGATACATAATTCTGTGCATCGGTTTTTGATTTCGATGAACGGTGTTGCCTTGGTTACTAAAAATAGAAATTTCTGTGAAATTCTTTCAAAATGCTACTCCTCCTACAGTTTTGGTCTGATTTTGATATGACTTGGCATACAAGTAGACTACACTAAGATACATAATTCTGTGCATCGGTTTTTGATTTCAATGAACAATGTTACCATGGTTACTAAAAATAGAAATTTCTGTGAAATTCTTTCAAAATGCTACTCCTCCTGCAGTTTTGGTCTGATTTCAGTATAACTTGGCACACAAGTAGACTATACTAAGATACATAATTGGTTTTTATTTTGATGAGTGGCAAGGATCATTTTTCTATTTATTGCTGATTTAAAGTCTCAAGTCTGCTACTTTTCTCTTCCTTTGTTTTAAGTATAAACCAGTAGAGCTACAGTCTCGACAGAGACTTCTGGTTTCACTTGATTCATGTCTAATATATATTTTCTAAAGTAGGTTAAATTATACATTTGATACTGGCTTTTCGAAGACAAATAACTACGTTGGTATAAAGGCCTCCTTTTTGTTGCCTATTTATAGAAACTTTATTGATCTACATTTTTTCCCTCTGTAATTCAAATTTACCCGAAATAAACTCGAAACCTATATGGAAAACACCTATGATGGTATTCCTCAAGAAGGAATGAGACTTTTGAATGAGCCAACACAACAGGAAAGGGTTATAAAAAGCTGTAAGCTTAGTCAAGTCTTTGCTTGTTTTTGTGTTCTGTAATGCAATAAAGCTAATGCAAGTTTTTCCTTCGACGTGTGAAACTTCCAATAGAATGGTGAGTGGATAGGGGCCCTTGGCCAATATCGACATCTTTATTAGAATTATACGGCCTAAGATAACAAGTTTTCGATAACGGTAAGCTACTGGTAATAGCTCATTGGCATTTTCTGTGCTTAGTCGCGAGGATCTTGCTTTTTGATTTATATATGGACGTAAATCTTAGTATCTTTGATAGCAATCATTGGAGTGGATAATGAAGCGATAAGCAAATAGCCATATGTCCATTAAGATAAATAAATAAAGTGTATTCTATGTTTACCATCTATTCAATTTGTTAAATATCCTAATATGATATCGAATGTAATTGTTATCACTATTTAATGTGTTAGATCTCCAACGAAAAAAGAGAATACGTTTTGTAGTATGTTTTGTACCTTTGTGTACTTTTTTAACCAGAAAGAGTCACTTGTACTTTATAAGAAACGATTGTCTGATGCAATCGATCATTTAACCAGAATTTTATGGATATTATGATACTACTGTATTTTGTATGTGATAATTCTTAAGGTTCAATTGGTTGAAAATTAATTCAGTGTAAATCCTCATATATATTATGTCGAAATTTTAATTTGAATTTAAGGACCTATGATACAAACAAAAAAAATGGATTTCTGGATATACATTTTTTGGTCTAATTCCATCGCAAATGATACGAATAACAAATTTCTAGAATATAAAGAAATTGTAAACCTTCTCTGATGTTTATAAGTCTGTCCTACAGTACCCATCTTTATTATTCTATACAAATATTTTTCGCTTCAAATCCCATTTTTGTGAAATTTTGAATAAAAAATTAAAAACTACGCGGTGTAACTTATTCACTTTAATCATTTAAAGATGACCCAAGTTGTTATTTTCATATTTTTTGACATAAGTTTGTTTGTATCATCTGTCCTTTAGAGCATTGATTTTTTAAAAAAAAAATACATGTCTGTATGTTTGATAATATAAAATGTTATAGACTATAAATTGTGGGGATTTTCGATTAAATGATGGTTCGTTTCAAGGAATAAATATCACTGCAAACTGCATCAGTGAATGATTGTGCTAATACGTCTTTATTTCAATACAAATCAGATTTTTAAAAAAAGAAGGTTTTCTTATGTTATGCAGTGATTTAATTGTGTTTTCAGATCATAAACCGTTATTCAGACCAAAGAATTTCTGAACTCTCTAAGGCTGGTTACACAGTTTCATCCTTTCGACATTTATCTGTTCGGGAATTTTACTATTTAACGCCAAGTGATGCGGTACGTTTTAAAAAATTTATAAAAATGAATTTTTATATTATACAATGAAAAGCAGTCATTTATAGTATCATATTTTAAATCAATGTATACTAGTATACTTAACGTTATCTAGATTATTAAGTTTTGTTTTAGAAGATTATCAATTATCTTTTAATTCAATGATATATTAAAAATAATAAAACTCTGATCTACAGTAGTTGGCCATAAGTATGTTCCCAAAATGGCCGACGTTCTTCAACCGCATTGAGAATTCTGAGATGTAAAAACTTTTTAGCAATACTACATTCGTTTTTTCTCGAAACTAAACATCCGGAAATAAAGTTTTTGTAGTGGTAGAGGTTTTAAAATAAGCGTCCTTAATTGATTTCCGGTTTATTGTTTACATATCGTCTGCTTGGAGATATGGGTAAGCGAGGGAAGGAATTGACACAAGATGTTAAAACATCATCATTAATTTATATAACAGCGATCATTCCAGTTACAAAATATCAGAAATAACAGGCTTGAATAGGAGAACAGTTAGTAATTTTTTAAAGCGTTTTCGTAGCGGGGAACACAGAAAACTTACCGCGAAGCGGCAGGCAAAGAAAACTTGATGACAGGGCGAAACGACGACTCGTTCGCATGGTTCGGGGCAATCGTCGGCAAACATTAGAGGATCTCACAAGTAAATTTAACAATTCAGCAGTTGTTAAAGTATCCTCTAGGACTGTGAGAAGATTATTATTTGAAAGTGAATACAAACGACATGTAGTTTCCAAAACGATTACGATCAGAAAAGTGAATCGCTCTCGACGTATGGGATTTTGTAGACAAAAGTTACACTGGAATGTGCAGAATAATTGGAGTAGAGTGATTTTTAGTGACGAGACAAAAATTATAATCGGTGAGGATAAGAAAATCTATGTTTGGAGGAAATCTGATGAACGTTTGATAGGGGAGTGTACGGGAATACGTTTGGACAGGGAGAGGCAGGGAGTGATATCAGCGATGTTCTGGGGGTGTATAACATACAATGGTGTGGGCACCCTTACATCTATTGAAGGAAATATGAACTCTAATGTTTATATTGAAACTCTGAACAATAATCTGTGGCCTGTCGTTGCTAAAAACTTCGGAAATGATGCCTGGATTTCCCAGGAGGATAATGCACCTTGCCATGTTTCTAGGGTTTGTAACGATTGGAAAACGCAAAACAATATTCCAGTATTACCATGGCCTGCACAGAGCCCAGACATTAATGTAATAGAAAATGTTTGGAGAGTACTGAAAATTCGGATTAAGAGACGCTTACATGACATTAAAAACAAAGCAGACCTGAAACGCATCGTTCATGAAATCTGGTCCTCTTTACCGCTTCACTATATAAGAAGTTTATATCAAAGTCTACCCAAACGAATTAGGGCAGTTTTGAAAGCCAAGGGACACATCACAAAGTACTAGTCATAAAGGTTAGTTTTATGCTGTTACATATAATTAAATTTAGGTTTTACTTTTTGATATGCACTTAGGTTTACGGAAAACGTCGGCCATTTTGGGAACATACTTATGGCCAACTACTGTAGTAACAACTAATAAATACAAATAACCTACACCTTCATGTTCTGCTAATCTAATATGTTCTTTTTTTTAGAAAGTCATTGCCTACAGAAACTACGTCAGAAATCTTTTAAAACACGTCTTCGGTAATGGTACCAGTAGTTTTTCCGTTGCATATCTCAAACTGACGCTGAATGAAGTTTTAGACTTTGAAATGAGACTTAATCAGGTGATTATTTTTTAAAAATTTTATAACTCTGATTACAGTAAAAAAAATTCAAATTCGGATACCGGTGTTAAAATATATCTTTTTTACTTGTAGGCAATGTTTGCACCATCAGCAGTTAGTTCACTCAATATCATGTTTAATTGTACACAACGGTACACAATAGGTGAACTCGAAAGATCATCCTCAGGCTACAAGATTGACTGGAAATTGTTTTTTAGCATTCTTCTCAATAGAAATGTGACAGAAAACTATGCAATTTGCTTCTCAGATATTTCTTATGACGTAACAGACATACTTTATGACACTCAAATCAACATCATTAAGAATTTCATCAAACTCCATATTATACTAAATTCGGATATTACATACGCCAATCGTGTACTAGTTGAGCCATTCATAAACAATGACATAAATTCCTTGAGATTTTCTACGAAGGAAATCAGATGTTACAAATGCATAGAAAATATTTTACCTATAAGTTCTATATTCAAATCGACGGATGATATATTTTTCATCAGAAATTCTTCCTTCATATTTTCCGAGTTGAAGAAGTCCATTATCAAAATTATTGACAACATGTACTGGATTCCATTCAAACAAAGGAAAGCAATTATCTCCCATGCCAACCAAGCCGGTATCTTATTTACAACAAACTTGAAATATAAAATATATGACAGTGCCGTTTATTTTTCATTATTAAATAAAACAGACTTTTATCCAATAGTATTTAGTGCCATTAGACAGAAGTATTCGTATGAAATGGGTGGATTTATAATAACGTCATTATTTTCAAGTTCTATTTCCTATTATGATGATGTGAGACAAAATATAGGTAGGTAAACATGTAATAGATTTCAGTTTATACACATGTATGTATCAAAAACAAAAGGAAGAATCGGTGCAGATTTTTGGTATATTTAAATGTAAAAATCCAAAAATATCACAAAACATTTACTGCAAGAGCTTTCGCTATGTTCACCATATGTATATGGAAAAAAAAGTTTCCAAACGGTTTGAAACACTTTGGGGGGCGAGAAACACAAACTTTTATCTAGAAGAGTTTGATACGTAAAAAGTTATATATATCAGACGTGTGTAGGTTAAGGTCTATCTTTTGTCCCTGTTTGGCTAATGCTCATATCAATGTTAAAGCATATCATAAAAACATGCAATAACGCCTATTACAAAATTCATTCTAATTAGAAGCATTTCTTATGTAATCGGGTGAAAAATTCTAAATTAAATTTTTGACGATTAAGACTCGAATCTTTATCATATCTACCAGTAATTTAGTCCTTTTCAGTGTTATCATCAATGGCAAACAAGGAGCCAATATTTTACCACTTTGCATCAAATGCACTCCTTTTTGGCTCAACGGGGGCATTCATCGCACAAATACTTGCCAGAGTATTTGATATTGATGGTAAGTGGAGACAAATTCTATATTGTTTAATCCTAAGTGCAGTATATGTATTTCAATTTTTCGTAGAATATTTGATGAAGCCTATTTGAACATTTGTGTTATTGTATTTTGCTACATCATAAACAATTTAGGAAGATATTGTCTCTTACATATAAGATTTCTATAATTTGTCGACTTAGAACCGATTTAAAAGCGGAAATGTGAGTTAATATTGCACGACAAATTTCCCATGATGAAAATAATAAATTTCAATAATTGAGTGTCCTCTTATTACAAAAGCAGATAAATTTGTAGTATAGTTAATATATTTTTATTTCTTTCTTGCAGTTATTCTTTCCCATTATCTAAATGGCATTATAGAGCAGGAGGTTGTGTTCACGTTTGCTCATCATTTTCAATGTCTCGTTGAGACTTTTACGAAATATACCATAACTGACCTCAGTGGAAAAGTTCATCAGGTATCCGTAACTGACTGTTATTTAGGGAGAACTTAAGATGTACACTATATGTTTTTACTTACAACGATTCTACAGTTTTACTAAGATTAAAACCATCTGATTTCATTATTATTAGATGATAGAAACATTTTATGTTAAAGTGATTATCTTTTCTACAGGCTAATGGTGCTTTAACGAAAGGAGAAAATTTTAGGGACATATTAGCCTTAAGAGTCACATATAATGTAAGTAGCTTGGCAATATCGCATAAAGGTTAAAACATCAAAAGCAAATATATCTTATTTTAATACGGTTATCATAAGTTTCAATGAAATTTTTAAAATACTCAGTATATTCTTTAAACTGTTTCAGTCTTACAAATCAAACAGCTGGAAAGACAAATATATGCTTCCTGCTTTACAACTCACGGAGAATCAATTATTTTTTGTGGCTTATACACAGGTAAAACTTAAGACTGCACATATATGTTTTAATGAAATTTAAACGTTATAAAATAGGAGCGGAGCAAACAGAGACCTCCAAAAAATCAGAGGTGGGATCAGGTGCCAAGAAGGAGTGGATATACCTTGCCGAACTGTCACACCCGTCGTTTGCTATTAAGGTCATTATCGACCATAGAACTTACAAAATGATGACTTTAAAAAAACTGCTGATATTCTTGTTTCATCAACTTATTTGTCAATACATGTAATTTATGCAGAGCATGCTCTTGCGAATTGAATAACTGAGGGATATAAACTATTTTTCCCGGTTATAAGTTGACGTATTTTTGTATTCATATGAAGCATAAATTGTCCAAAATCGTATAAGTGAAAAGAAAAAAACCCACTTGGTGTGGGTTTCAACTTGACATTTAGATATATTGACAACGTATTGTCAATTATCAATTGATTGTTCCATTCTTATATCGATACGATATATTCCAGTTGGCTTGAAATAAAAGATACCACAGAGTCTGATACATCTGTTTCATATTTTACTAGCAAAGGACGTCAATGGTAATGTTACAACTAAAACTTTAAAATAAAAGTGATGACCTCAACGTATTAACCGTCTTACGTATGCAGAAAAATATCTTTCGGGACATATGGGGATAATATCTCTCAAATGAATCGATGTGCAAGAACATGCTCCACGTATAAACAATTATAAAACGAGGCAGATTATCGACAGCCGTTGCGGCTTTACATTTTATACTATTTGTTCTGCCATTATTTACACATATAGTCTGGGGATTTTTCCATTTTATCTTGATCATGACAAGGAGCACACGGCGGGTGTGATCGCCTAGAAGCAGATGCTCACTCATCCACGGCACTTGATCCCACCTCTGATGTTTAAGAGGTCCACACATATGTTTGCTTTGTCCCAAAATTTGTAAATTGTATATTTTACTTTTGAGCTTGGAATATGTTCGTTTTTCTCCATATATTTCTCTGCAAATGCACATAAAACAAAAAGATTGTGAGTTGTTTGGAATCTAAAATAAATGTTAAAAATATACTCAAAAATGAAGTTCCTACTTACTTTAAAATTATAATTAAACATTGATGTTTAAGACTATTACCTTTTGATAATTGTGATATTAAATTTGAAAATCAAAACGTACTTTTCTTCTCAGCTTTTCATTCCGTCAGATATTTTTTGAAAATCTATAAGAAGAAAGGAAAGAATAGATGTTCATTTCTTATCCTCTCAATATAAAGAACGGAAAAGGAAATCCACTTTATATTTTAAATAAACTAAAACCTGACAAGAATCCCTCAAAACTTATGAAAATAGAAAATAAAATTGTTTCGAAGGTGCTGGGATCGTTTAAATTTTCCCATATGATTATATTCCTTTTTATATTCGACATAAATGAATACTTACTTTATTTCCTTTTTATGCTACGCAGACTCTGTGTGAAAGAATAAATGCAAGAGGTGTTGAGATGTTTTACATCAACAACAAAAGAACAGTAACTCTACCGAGACGTTTACGGTTTGTTATATAGCCTTAGGAATCTTTATTTCCTGTTAAAATAGTATTCACATTCTTTTTCTTATCACTTGTATTTAATGTTGTTTATTTTTTATTCAATTCATTTAATACATTCATTTCGTGTGTCACATGGAAAAAGATAATACGATCTATGGTTTTGAATGTCTGTTTTTATTATTATTATTTTATTTCATATCTAAAATTTATTTATATATTTAAAATTTATTTTCATGCAGTAAAATAAGACTCAATTGACTATATTTTTTTCTGAATTTAATACTACAGTCTAGTGAACAAAATTTATCGTCTCGAAATTTATCTTAACGTAATGGAAACGACCATGCTTTAAGAAATTATATGTACCTGAATTCTACGTGGAAAAAAATACGATATGCATTTTATATTAAATGCATAAAAATTATTTGCATTGTACGAGGGTTGATCCAAAAGTAATGTCACAACTGCGATAAAATTAAAAATAATCGGAGTAAAGCAACAAAAATAGCAATGATGGAAGCTATTTTTATTTCAAATCAGATCTGGAAATTTCAATTCAACATGATTTATACTTTTAAAAATATTGGATTATATACAAAGTTCATTTGTGGTAGTCGTCGCAACCTCAATAACGTCAAATAACAGATACGCGACGTCACACACCTGAACGTAAAATTATTCCTTTTCAAAGTAACGGCCTTGGTGCTCCACACAAAGCTGATGTCTCCTAACCCATTTCTGGAAAACGGCTGCAAACCATTCTCTGGGTAGTAGAGAAAACACCTCGTTACATGCCTGTCTCAAATGCTGAAGGTCCTCGAAGTGGGTCCCTCGGAGTTGATTTTTCAGGTGCGGAAATAGCGCAAAATCACACGGAGCTAGATCTTGGCTATAAGGGGGGTGAGGCAATTTCTCCATTCCAAGGAGCTCAATTGTTACTACAGTTTCCATCGCCGTGTGCGGTGTTGCATTATCATGATGGATGATGCAGTTACTAAGGTTTTTCACAGATATGTCTCCTTTTCTTTCTCAGTGCAGTCATAAGATCTCTGGATGAAACCTGGAAAACAAATTAAGCGTTAATTTTTTTTTTAAGAAAAGAAAACAATGTTTTTCTAAATTTGAAAATCTGTTTTAAAAATGATTATTTCTATATTGATTTTTATATATATATAATTATTTTTGATAATCGTTTGTGAATTAGATAGATAAATTTTGATTATGTGTTATGGCTTTTAATTTTAATGATAACCATTAATTAATTAGTCAATTACCTTTGAATATTACGAGGCATTGATCGCTTGTCCTTGTGGAACAGCACGGATAAGTACAACATCCATATCAAAGAAAACAACAAACATGTGCTTCTTGGTGGTTCTGGAAACCCGAGCTTTCTTAGGAGGTGGTGAATCTGTGCTTTTCCACTGGCTTGACTGTAATTTAGACTCAGGGTCATAAAGATACACCCAGGTTTCATCCACCGTAATGATGCGCCTGAGGAAAGCTTCTCCTTCTTTTCTCCATCGTCGTAAAAATCTTTCGGATTCACGAACACGTACACTCATTTCATTTTCTTTAAGAAGTCTTGACACCCAACGTGCACTTACTCTTTTCATAGATAAGTCCTCCGTCAAAATCCTCCGCACAGTGCCATAGGACAAACTCAAAGTTTCACTTATCGCTCTTATCGTCACACGCCTGTCTTCTTTCACAACGTCAGAAACAAGTTGAACATTTCCGTCCGATCGTCCATCCTTTGGTATTCCTTATATGTTGATAATTTAATGACCCATTTCCCGAAAACGCTGGAACCACCGATAAACAAGTCTCCTATTAACCTTCTTTTCACTATAAGTCTCATTTATCAAAGAAACGGTCTCTAATGGCGATTTCCCCATTTTGTAACAAAAATACATAACAGCTCGTTGCGGGTTTTTTTTTCCATTTCTGGTATTTCTTTCGTTCAAATCATCGGAATGAAACACAGTGTTAATCATCGAAAATGGCAATGACATCATTTAATTTCTAACTGAAGACTGGAAAATGACGTAAGTTTTTACAATCGAAAAAACGGGCAATTTGGCGCGTTTTAAAAATTTTTTACAATGTGTTTATCTTTTTATTCCTAAGAAAATAAAAATCAAAATTAGACGAAACGTTATGACGTGGCGACACCCCTATGTCTCACCTTTTAAACATCTATAAAAATAGTTCTATTTAATATTATTAAACCAAAATTTCAATTTTAATTAAATTTACAAATGTGCATATTTCGGTATATTTTATTTGACAATATGACGCCGAATGCCAAAGATATGGACACAGTGACATTACTTTTGGATCAACCCTCGTATATAACTTACATTTTATGCCTTCACCACCTTTTAGTGTCATAATGACAAGCCTTTTTAATTCTAAAAGAATTGCAATAATTTGCATGTAATTCTATAAACATATTTCCATATCCCAGTTTTTTTTTATTAGTATGCAGATATAATGCAGATTTCATATTATAATTTTAAAAAATGAATGTAAAATAGTTTTACTAAATAATTTTAACAAGTCCTCTATTTTTCAGGATTAAAGGGATTTTATCCAATTTTGATCAATTTTCAAAAGACTTCAACTGTCCAGTTGGCTCAACAATGAATCCTGTGGATAAGTGTGTTCTCTTTTAGAATGAAATTATTCTAATAAAATGTGTTCTTCCATGGTATGTAGTTCTGTCTCTACTAAAAGACCAACATCAAGCGTGTTTGCTGTGTTTAAGCTAAGAAATTTTAAAGTAGAGTGATTTTATTTTTATTGAAGTCTAAAATAAAAAAATAAATTAATCTCTTTATTCTTTTATCATATTTGAAGGCCAATGAAATATTGTTTTTCAAAAGAAAAGATTTTTTTAATTGTAAAGTAGCTGAAAAGCGGCTATTTAAGTTATTCTCACTTTAATGTAAATCTAACATTTATTCTAGGAGAAATCATGATCTAATAAGGTCCAATAGAAGCAATATATATTTTGTATAAGATATTTATAATAAAGAGGTACATAAACATTTTTTTAAAACTCGCAAAATAGACAGTTGGTTAAGGTATACCTTTACTCAGGATGACTAAAAATTCCACTGATAAGAACGGAAAACCACCTATAGCACATTGTACAACTATCATTCTTGTGTTAAATTTCAATTTCAAATAACTAGGTCAATGACCTACTTTTCATGCTAGTGGCCCCTCAGTATTTCTTGGAAAATACCTAATTTTTTCACACTATGACCATTTTTTCTTTACTAACACAATATTAAAAGCAACACAACTCTTTAAATAATGAAATATAGCAACAACAGATTTGCTTCATATAAAGGGAAAATTAGAGTTTGGGCCATAAACTTAATAATTATTCCCTCTGTCATATTTCTATTTTTCCCCCATTTTGAATTGAATATTTTAAAAATCTGAATGATAAGAACTCTAAATTATTTACAGCCTAATGCTACTTTTGTTGCCCTCATTCTCATGGAATTAATATTATGTGGGGTCAATGATCAAATTATTGAGACATGTTGCCTGGAATGGTTTTTGTTCATATTTTTGAATTTCTTTATCTCATAGAATTCAATTATTTGAAATAATTTATGAGCTTTAACACCTATATTATTTGCAAAATGATGTTAAAAATACATGTAAAATTTACATTGTGATTAATATTGCACGAAAAAAATAAATTTGGACAAAAATGTAAAATTTGAAAATTTAGTCCGAATTTCCTCTGCATTACCATACATTGGTTTTTTATTCCTGTTTATTTTCTTCGAATAATAAAATATTTAATTTTTTAATTGATATTGAGTCAAAACTTGGTTATTTTATCCATTTAGAACAATTTTTGATTTAACATATTATACTTTATGAAATTTCCGTTCTATTTTCTGAAACCTGAGTAAACGTCATCCTTAACAGTGATTAAAAATGTAACAAAAATGTTTTCCCGTAGGAGGAAAGCTCTTTTGAATAAAGTTAAAATAAGAATATTTGTTTTAATATTGTGATTTTAACAAGCCATCCGATCAAATCTTAAAAGGAATGTCCTTTTCCTTTATCTGGAGCTGGAAGTGAAATAAACTGTGCCCAAAATGAAATTTTTTTTTGTATCATCTCTTTATATTTTGTGCCTTTGATTTCAAATCCGAAATTATTCGACTTAGATACTAGCTGCAGACTTGCAGTTCACTTGTCTGAAAAACAACAGGAATGGAAGTCTAGACACATACAATGTACATTATGTACAGTGCCACAGTTTTAAAAATCCTGTTCATTCAATGCGCATATGTACAGTGTAAGTCTCAAATTTTGCTGACCGTGTGTTTCTTATATATTTTTAATGCTTTCAAAATAAAATTATAGGTACAAGTGATGTACAAAGCGTGTTTAATCTAACCATATTGTCACCCACCATGGCAATATAGATAAGCAATATTTTTATGGACTCACAATCAGGCCCAGATCGACTTTTTATAATGGCTAATAGGAATATTATTTTGTGGAAAATGTTGAAAAAAAAATATAAATATATAATTTAGGAACACGCGGCTTGTAGAACTTTGAAATGGCAGTTAAAATATTTAGAGAAAGTCTGAATAAATGGGAGAAATAAATTAAGTTTTTTAAATGAGTATCTCATTAGTTCCCTGTTTGTCCATCCCATATTTTTCAGATCAGCGAACACACTCAGGTTTCCAGCTACTCAGATCATTATTCTCCTACTAGAAATACAGTACTTTGTTTTAACCTTCTTTCACCATCCAATTAAGTCTCTTAAAACCATTTTAAGTAGTGTTATTGCTTAAATGGATAACGGGGAAAAATTGAAATACGGTGGTTACTTGTAATTTGTAGAAAGTAAATACCCGTCAACACACTTTTCTTCACCATAATTTTTGATAACATGATCATTTTCCATGATTTCAAAATTTCTTTTATAAACTGAACGACGTATTTTTAATTCTTGTTTCCCTTTCAATGAACGTTCGAAGAAAATATGCGATATAAATTGTTCAGGATTCAAAATATCAAAAGATATTTTGAAGGTAACTACTTTCAGATTGTTGTCTTTACTTTCCAGACATTTTTGTATGCACTTTATTTACAAAACTTTCAATATACCGTCTGCATCATATTAAAACATTTAAATTAAGACTCATAATTAATGAATTTCTATCTTCGTAATATACAAAGATGACCATTTGGTGAATGTTCTTGAATTTTATACCAATGAAAAACACTATATTTTAACAACAGTGTAATATAAAAACAAATATTTTTTTTAATTGGTGAGATAGTTTAATAACTACTAATCAATAACCACTTTTTTCAATATATCACAGAAATGTTACGGTGCACCCAGCAGTAAATTATAAAACAACTATAAAACTCACATTCTTCTATTCATTAATATTATGCTAAAACAAGAAATGAAACCAAAATTGATATAAAAATGCTTCTTCACCGGATATAAAGAAAAAAATCATAAAAAGCAGAGTGTAAAAATGAAAACAAATGCATATAAATCATTGCATAATTAAAATAATAATAATAATAAAGTGGATTTTCTAACAGTTAGATGAGACAACTCCTGAGAACTCCCTCGTCTTGACATAGCAAGTAATAAAACGATATAAATAAATGATCACGTGTTTATCAAGGGAATTAACTCCAAATTGTGATCACAGTTACTGCCCTTGACTTCGTCGATTTCTTTAAATTGGATTTGTTTAAGCAGTCTTGGAGAAGGCATATTTGAGCTTCTATGTTTAAAACTGGAAATTCTGTGTGTAGTAAGTGGAAATTGTGAAGGCACATTCCCGTTCGCGTTAGAGGTATCGTTTAAAGAATGTCTTCGAAGGAAAGAGCGACTAATTCTGTTGTCGATGCACAGTGAGTCTGTTTTCTCACAGTTACAGATTGTCTGATTCTGGTTGTTGTTTCCTGATAAAGTGGGACTAGTCGGAGGGGACAGAACTCTTGATATTCTCTTCTTTCTAAATGATTTGTCTTCTCCTGTTAGCCAGTAAGTCAATACATCACCCTTCCCCTGCAATATCAGTGTTTTTAAATTAATAATTTTATGACGAATAGTTAAGTTGTGCTTAATTTTAAGATTGATGTATATTTTGATATTTACAAATTACAAATTAAAAGTGGTATATAATGGACAAAGACAAATTCAATAACGCAATTCTATATATATAAAAAAGAAACGGACAAATCTTTTGGTGTACTTTCAATGACATTTTCTCTGTTTGAACTATTCAATTTATATTGAAAAACTAAAACATACTTTTAAGTTTAAAACATTAAATCTTAGAAAGTAAAAAATGAATTATTGCAATATAGCCTACCTTCATTGAAACCAAGCCTCTTTCCTCTGTTTGATAACCCCCGAGCTCATCCAGTATCGTTTTACATTGACTTGAACAATGCACTTGTAGAGCTATAAAATTGAATTTAAATTCTCAATGTTTGCTTGTATGCTTTTATGAAAATGTTTTCAGGAACTTTGTTTCTTTTTGTACGTTAATATATTAAAAGCAAACTATTAATGAATAGACAGACAGCTAGACAAACAGGTATACAGAGTGCATACTTCTTTAATGATTACAATAAGGCACTAACAGTATAATACAGAGCCCTAAAAGACATACGTTCTCCATTTGATTCCATCCTTGATGCCGTATTGACAGTATCTCCAAATAAACAATATCTCGGCATCTTCAGTCCAACTACCCCCGCTACACAAGACCCTGAATGAATTCCAATCCTTAGTTTTATCGTTTCGTTTTCTCGATGACGGATCTTAAAACTTCCTATGACCTCCAGAAGATGAAGTGACATCGAGGCTATTTCGCCTGCATGCATGTTTCCATTCCTTTTTGGTAGGCCGCTTACAACCATATACGCGTCCCCGATTGTCTCTACTTTGTACACGTCATAATGCTCAATGATAGAGTCAAACAAAGTGTAAAGGTCATTCAACAGATTTACAACCTGTAAGATAAAAAACAGTCAAAAGAACTTATACTACTTACAAATGTATTTAGGCTCAGAATAGCTCGTTCTTTGGATAACTGAGAAGCACGAATATATACAGCAAAAGGATGGATTTAATTTTTTTCCATACATCAAAATAAAATATTTCATTTTAAAATATTTGTCAGACTACCTGACAGGTCGAATGCTTTGTTTAAGTAGAAAGAGGTCAGAAAAGACAACAAATAAAGGATAAATAACTAAAGCGTGTTAAAAAGTCTTAAACTTCGTACTTGGTATTAGTTTTTATGAGATTCACTAAGTGTCCACATCGGTATAGTATATTTATTAAGCTTTGCTTTACCTAGATCGACCTACCATACTGCTGTACTCTATGCACAGTCATAAAAACTTTTAAATCTTTTTTTTTTTTTTTTACTTTGTGAGAAAAATTGATTGACGCACCTGAATAGGTGTACTTTCAGACGACAAAGCCGTAAAGCCACAAATGTCACTGAAATAAATGGTCACTGAATCAAACGACTCTGCCTCTACTTCTTTTCCCATCTTCAACTGCTCTGCAACTGACCTATGGTGACAAAAGTCAGATCATGCAACCAAATTACTAGCCAGATATGAAACCAAAGTAGATTTATTATAAGTTTCTCAATCATTCCAAAGATTGAAATTAAAACAGAATCAGAGACTTTCTGTGTTTGTTTAAAAATTCTTCTAGTGTGTAGGATTTCGTCTGGATTTTTTTTCCCTACCAAACAATGCTGAAAATAACTTTTTATTAACTATTTTTCGTACAATTATGCTATTAATCTTGCATATAAAAAGACAAAATTATTCATGTCTTCTGTCAGGAAAATTTATCGGTAAACTTTATTTAGGCACGTAAAATCAGAACCTGGGGTTAAAATTTCTAATAATAGTCTCCTAAAAATGTCGACCGAGTTTCAAAGAAGTTACTTGTTTATCATTTTAGGGGGATCTTTTTACTACCCCCACACACATACTTTGGCAGCATTTGATGGAGAAGTTCCTCTGTCTTTTTCTTCTCTTCAATCAGCTGTTCCGTTCTTTCGTCAACCACAGCCTCCAGATTGTTGGCATATTTCTCCATGATGGATATCATATTGTCTAGAATGTTTGGCTTCCTTTGAAAGAGAGATACATACGTATATAAATCAAATAATTCATATTGCTGCTTCACATGAAAAGAGTAAATTTTTCATTGAATAAAATAGACGTTTAAAGTTGAACTAGGTATGTTTAATGATACATGAAATTTGCATTGAGAGAAAAATCACTTTAACATTCTCCTACTCATCCTCAATTTTAATACTCCAAGCTATTAGGTCTCCAAAGTACCGAGTAAATGTCTAAAACCGAAGCCCTTCGAGGATATCTACTAACTTTTGAAATGAGTGAAGTAATTTTGCAAGGGGTGTAAAATTACAATCAAAGGCCTGAAGGGCCTGCGAGTTGACTCGCTCGAGTCAATTGAGCTTTTTCATACATCTGGGCACCATACCTTAATATATTCAGTTTATTTTGCATCTTAAGAGATTGAATATTATATGTCTGATCCATGTTCGGTTCATAAATAAAGTGTATATTGCTTTTCCTTTATAAATACAGGTTGGAACTAATGGGCTTCCGTATTATTTTGACTGGATTCTATAATGAATTTCAGCACACTAGCTGAAGTGGTCAGTGTTATGGAATAATTAGTTTAAAGATTCCCACAGCAAATCTGGATTCTAAAAATAGATTTTCAACAACAACTAGCTGCAGCAAATGAGAGCAGCAGGTGTTTGTGTTAGGGATTATTCTAGGTCAATTATAAATAAACTTCAGATGGGAAGATTAGATCCGCCTAACATGCTTGAACATATATTCATACGCAGTAATTGTACATCGTACAGATATTGAATCAAAAATTTCTTTAAAAGCATGAAGGCATAAATAATGTTACAGTACAAAATTTTATACAGTTTTCACCTCTTAAGTTTATACAATCACTCAAACCAAAGCATTTTTTGCTAGAACTATAACACCGTATACAACGGGTAACGCGGGGGAGTCGCTAAAAAGTATGGGGGAGTCGTTTTCAACGTATGGGGGAGTAGATTTTCACCGCTTCGGAGTCGGAAGAGATGTGGGTCACGTCTTTTTTCGGTATTTATAAGATGTATTTACAAAAAACAAATATCCCACGGAAGATGGCAATAGTTAAGCTTTATTTTGGTCATTTGTCCGGCTGTCATATACGTCTAGTTTTCTCAAACACTTCGAAACTATTTGACAGTTTTCATATTTACGTTGATCGGATGGTAAAAACATGCATGATTTGTACAATCTACGGCTTGTGTAGGGATTTTCACAGTTAAAACAGCGAGAGAAAACGTTTATCTTTTAAATGCAACAACTTAAACTTGACTAGACTTTATAAAAAACAATAATTAAGACATTTTCTCCTCAGACAGTGACGGTTACGTAGGGGGGAGTCGTTTATGGGAAAGCACATCGCAGGGGGAGTCGCAAAATAAAGTCAAATGCATTGTTTGTGTTGTTTTCATCTCTTTTATACTGCCAATACCTTTTTATTTACTCGTAGATATCTATAAATCTGTGTTTGGTTATTTACTTTATAATTTGATGTTACGAAAAGAGATTTATTCTGTGGCTTTATCAGTTCCAGAAAAAAATCAACAATATAGATTGCATGAACAATTGGATTAAATATCATCGGAGCACATGTGCTTGAAGACAGGACTGTCCCCCTCAATATGTAATATGTAATCGAAGATGTGTATCACAAAAATTCAATCCACGAATTCAGGAACCCTAACTTTCGACAATGAAAGCCTTTCCATAAAAAAAAGAACAACCCGATTTATAATTTGGAAAATTTCTTGATAATATCAACAATTTTTTTAATTAGAAAAAGGCAAATCTCTGACGCGTCTGCACGCGCCATTTGACTTTTTCTTTGGGAAGGGGGTTAAATTTAACTGGTATATTCTCTCGATTAGGTTCACAAATAACATTGATAATTATTTTTTTTTTATTTATTTATCATATAAACACATCTTCAGATACAAACGAACAAGTATGTCAAATTGAGAAGATTTTGGATTTTGGATAATCTGAGGATAATACACATAGGTAAATATACAGGATGAATACTGAAGAAGGGACTGAATTGCATATTACCAAATACGCTGGAAATGTATGTCTATGATATATAAAATGAGAAGTGACAATGCAAAAATAATTAATCAGAAACTTTGAAAAGAGGAAATACGAAAATATTTCTTCTCTGTATACATTTCATTATCATGATATCCTCCCTTTCCTTTCCCCAGCTATATATACAGTTCCTCAGAATATGATACCCCCTTTACCCCTCCCTCTTTCGGAGTTCCGTGAACACATGGTTGTACCAGAATAAGTCTGAGGCAACCAGTATATTATACATTCATAGACAGGGTTCGAGGGCAACATGCGTTTTCGGACCCAAGAACCAAACTGTTTGCAGGAGACTGTTAGGCCGAAGGCAAAATGTTTTGTTCGAGGGTTCGACGAAACACATTTTGCCAGATCAGGAGAACACATTCGATCAATGTTTTGTTATACATTTTACTGTTTATTATGGTACTATTTTGATGAAATTTTTGTTAATCCTCACTGCATTTAAAGACTGTCAATTCCGTAAAGTTCTGACAGCTGACCCCGCCCACACTTTGACATAAACGGTACATTATCTCATCGAAAGGTCCAACATCTCGCTCCTCGGTCAAACAGCTTTTTATTTGACTGAAGAAAACGGTAGAAAGGTTATTCTTTTTAGTATAAATTTATATAACAATTTTTAAAAGTATAACAAAAATTACAAACAACTCACCTAAAAAATTTTGAATTTTAACAAGCAAAAAATGGGTTGTTGAAAGGAGGTAACAACAGTTTGACAATCAAATTTTATATTTTATTAACACAAATTAGCAAGTAATAGTCACTATGATTTTGGTTTATACAATGTTATATAAGCCTTATAGTTTTTTGGTAATAGACCTGCACTCATAACTTTTACCTGGTCTATTATCTGAAAAAATGTATGTTAAATTCAGCATCCGAAGGAGGTCCATTAATGTGCATCCTAAGATTTATCATCCATGCAAGTTTGCTCATTATAGGGCTCATAGTTAATTGGAAATGAAACATCATCAAAAACTAACATTTTCACTCATTCACAAAATGTAGGTCAGATTCAGCATCCGAAGCAAGCCCGTTAGTATGCATCCTTAGATGTATCATCCATGCAAGTTTGGTCATTAAAGATCTCATAAATGTAGTTACTTGGAAATGAATCATGCACCAAAAACTTTAACCTATTCACGCAACCGGAAAATGTAGGTCATAATTCATCATCTGAAACAAGCCTGGTAGTAGTATGCATCCTTAGATGTATCATCCATGCAAGTTTGGTCATCATAGGGCTTATAGTTACTTGGAAATAAAACCTACACCAAAAACTTTAACCTGTTCACTTACATGTAACCGCAAAATGCAGGTCAGAATCTGTATCAGAAGCAAGCCTGGTAGTATGCATCCTTAGATGTATCATCCATGCAAGTTGGTCAACGTAGGGCTTATAGTTACTTGGAAATGAAACCTACACCAAAAACTACACCAAAAATGTTAACTTGCTCCAAAAACATTAACCTGGTCATTCCTTGGCTGAAATTACAGCATCTGAAACTTTGAGTGGTACAATGAAACACACTAGAACCATCTTCTATTCATGACTAAACAATAAAGGACATAGAAGTACAAAGAAAACTGCTCCAAAAAACTTAACCTCTACCTGGGACGCCGACGCCGACACCGACATTGACGCCGAGATATTACATAAGTTCCCCCAACTTCGTTGAGGTGAGCTAAAAAGGTATTGGCAGTATAAAAGAGATGAAAACAACACAAACTATGCATTTGACTTTATTTTGCGACTCCCCCTGCGATGTGCTTTCCCATAAACGACTCCCCCCTACGTAACCGTCACTGTCTGAGGAGAAAATGTCTTAATTAATAATTTTTATAAAGTCTAATCAAGTTTAAGTTGTTGCATTTAAAAGATAAACGCTTTCTCTCGCTGTTTTAACTGTGAAAATCCATACACAAGCCGTAGATTGTACAAATCATGCATGTTTTTACCATCCGATCAACGTAAATATGAAAACTGTCAAATAGTTTCGAAGTGTTTGAGAAAACTAGACGTATATGACAGCCGGACAAATGACCAAAATAAAGCTTAACTATTGCCATCTTCCGTGGGATATTTGTTTTTTGTAAATACATCTTATAAATACCGAAAAAAGACGTGACCCACATCTCTTCCGACTCCGAAGCGGTGAAAATCTACTCCCCCATACGTTGAAAACGACTCCCCCATACTTTTTAGCGACTCCCCCGCGTTACCCGTTGTATACGGTGTATAATATTTGGCGTATGGATCACCTTGATGAATGCGTGATAAATTTTACAGCTCTGAAACGGCTATGTCAACAGGGAGTAGCTCGCTACGCGAGCCAACTCAAAAAATGAATCACATTTATACTAAAGCCCTACATCTTGTTCAAACTATATACATTTAAGTTATGCATATTATTGACATAAACTTATTATAACACCGTCCTACCTCTGCAACTGGTATATTTCTCATTTATCCAGCAACTACCCCTTGCATTGATCAAGAAAGGTAACCTACTAAACTAAAGATTTATTCGGTCAATGTCCTAATAAAGCCTCGTGCATGTATTCCGAAGACGTTCTAAAAGCATTGTGAGTTCAGTATATTACACTGTTTACGCAATGGCGTCTTAGTTTCCTCTGCAGAGATGTGTCTAAATTTGGGTTGAAAATAGTTCATTTTGGAGGTCAGATGTAAATTATATTTTGCAGGATAAACAAAATACATGGATGGTCATTGTCTTGAAATATAAACAACTGGTATATTTCTCATATATTAGCCACACCCTTTGACCTGATAACAACTACGTGACAAAGATCATAACCTGTTATGAAAGAAAGCATAACTCTAGATTTTACCAGCAAGGTAATCATCAACAAAACAATTGATAACTTTAAAGATTTACTACGAACTATGTTAAATGAACATTTTCAATTATGATTAAATAAATATTGATTTTCCACTCAATCCAAAGCAATAAATTTTGTCCTTTGCAACATACTTTAAGTTTGAGAAAGTAATCTTTAATATTTCAGCAACTAATCAATTATGAATTACAATTTAACACTTCTCTAGATAACAATTCTTACATTCCTCTTTGCAGTTCTTTTAGTTTTGTGCGAACTGTCTTGAAGTCAGGTCTTTTTTCAGGGTCCTGTTCCCAGCATTCTTTGATAACATCCGTCACAAACTTTGGAGTTGTGTCCAACTCTGCCAGCCGAGGGCGAAACTCTTCGTGTGTGTAATTCATTACTCTCTCAATGATTTCTTTGGAATAAAGTACTTTTGGTTTCATTCTTCATTTTCATGTAAATTATCCACAAAAAAATTCAAAGAGTAGCCATAATTACAAGAACAACGTTTTAAATATAGATTATTTGATCAAAGTTACATATTAACTAAATGTTTCTGCTCTCAAGGACTAACGAATACTATTTATCCAATCACAATGCCAAAAACCTTAATTGGAAAGACTTAATCACAAGAACAAACCTTTGGGACTTAGGTTACAATTTCCATAGGGTCCCTTCCTTCCATTTATTTCATATAAAATGATTGCAAAGGAATAGACATCGCCACTTTGCGTACCCCTTCCTTTATTTTTTAAGGGAAGTAATTCAGGTGCCGTCCACAAGAGATCTAAAACGGTCAAATAATACTTTAAAGGGGTTATCTTTCTTTTACAAACTGGAAGATTAGTTAATTTCCGACTGGATTAAAGTGAAGCAAAGATATTAATATTGAAAACGATAAATACTTCTGTAATAGGCATATTCCTCGGTTGATTCTTCTGTTCCCGCCAAAAATTCTGTTAGACCAAAGTCTGTGATTTTCACAACCCACCTACTATCTACGACGCAGTTACTTGATTTTAATTTCCCATGAGACTTAATTTCGCTCTCATGAAGATACACCATGCCCTGCAAAAATTGATTTTTTAACAGATTTATGGTACAAAAATCTCTAATCTGAATTCAAAATTAATTTCTCTGTCTGAAAATTTCCATAAAATTCCCTTCTGACACGAAAGTTATTTTCTATGTTTAATCAAATTAAGATACTAGAATATGAATTTTATAAAAGATAAATTTTCCATTCCTTGGTCCCAAATGAGCAACATATCATTCTTTAGTCTCAGTGAAAAATTATTAGAAAATTTCTTCATTTTTTCCCAATTAAGACACATTTAGAAAACTGCACGCTTCGCAATAAGTTAACTTATCCGAAATTTGTTTATGAGATAGACGATAAAAAAATATCGGAATTCCAGATAAATCGTCAAATGGATCAGTATCTTAACGTGCATCATGCACACTCAGCAAAGAACATGAGAGTTATTCGACGTATATCTAGCATTAAAAATGGCATACCCTGATAATGTCGAAGACAATAGATGCTATAAACATCAAATCCAGTTGAATGTCATCATTTTCAAGAATATCCTGTCCAATAAAAAATATGGGGAAAAAACTTAATCTTTGAAATTTTCAAGTTAGAATTAGAGTTAAAATTTGAGAAGTCTGGTTCGAAACCACTTAAAAGCCCACAAGTAAAAATACACATATCTGATACAAGGACTTCTAATTTTGCTAATTTACAAACCTGTCGACAAACAGTGTTAATTCTAATATTCTAATACACGTATACTGATGACATTAACTTAGCTCTTTTTTATCATTCCATGCTAAATCAAAGAATTTTCTTAAGCTTCTTGAAATATACCTGTAGACTTCCTTTTGGGCAGTAAGCAGTGACTATTAAAATGTATGGCGCATCAATACAGGAACCAATAAAAGGGTTAACGTTATCGTGACGAAGTTCCCTCATCTACAAAAATGGTATTGAAGTTTTAACTCTACACATTTGTGAACCAAGAGTTTTTCTATGTTCGTTAAAATGGTCAAGCAACACTAAGGAAATATTTTCTTGTATCAAATTTATATTTTGCATATTTAACGTTTACAAAAAAAAAATATTATTTTAGAATGTAGTTTGTTTTATGCTTTCCGTTTGAACTGGTATCCCCCATCAGAGAACAAACAAGTTTTATAAACATAAACGGCTTTCAAGGGTTTTGTTTATTATATTACAATTCAATTTTAAATTCATACCACTTTTAATTCCTTTTTAATGCTTCTTGTAAGTTCTACGTTTTTCTTGTTTACTTTTCTGATCGCAACAAGATTTCCCTTGTATGTCCCAACACACGTGAACAACTGTCTCGTGTCAATGTCAGACTGTGAGGTCAAAGACATAGTACTCGAAGTTCTTGTTATGTTATTCAAGCACATCTGCAAATAAAATAGCATCGTTTCTTCAGATGGTCTGGATGCTATCGTCAAAAAATTAAGAAAATTCAAAAGAAACATTAAGAAAAGAAACCTCTTATGGGAATATGGGAGAGTATTTTTTATTCGGTGAAGTTCTAAGAAAAACAACTTGACACAAAGATCAACACTAGATTGACACATTTACGACGCATCCGCTTGATTCACACGCTTCGACTTCAGATAATGGTTATTATTGATATTCCTTCAGCATTCTTCACATTGTTAGTGAACTGTCAATTCCATGCACTCAAGACTTGACTTAAAAGGCTTCCTTGATTACAGACACTTTCACGCTATCCAAGTCTCCAATCAAGGCTATATTTAAATACAATGTAACAAGATGGAAATTCGCTTCCTGATACGGGCTATATTGCATTTCTTTCATTTTATATAAATAATGCATGTTGTTCAGGTCTTGAGGGTAAATTTAGTATTGAATTTTTTTTTCGAAAAGAAAATCATCGTTATAAGCAAGGAGCAGCCGAGTTTGACATGGTTTTGGAGTGATAAAAATGTTCAGTTATCCTCAACCATATTGTGCTTGTATTGAATGACTATTTACTTTTTTCGGTATTTGAGGGGTTTTTTTATCAAGATCCTCCAAATATTTTTGGTCAGCAAAATGCATGTCATGTGATAATTTATACATCAAAAATCGTCAAGTTATGTTTACCATGGATTGGTACTATTGCTCTAAATCATATGGTTTCATATTCAAACTATACTGTCAAACGTACATGTTATTATATATATAACTGCAATGTACTTTTGGAGGTATTTACCATCAACCCCGGGTCTGCATAGTCTATTGTCAAATCTTTGTAGTCAATCTTCCACAGAAGGCTGGCTAATTCTTGTTCATACCTCCAATTTCTGTAATATGTACAATATTCAGATATTATTACTATTTTATTATAGTATTGCATATATTGATGACATAAAATATCAATATTATCTTTCCATCCCCAGTTATCCTTGTACTAAATTATCAATATCCTCACATAAAACAATTGAAGTTCCGGGTAATCTTTATTTCATTTGTTTCACTCAGGTTTTTGAAGTTGAATATTGTTTCATTATATACTCACAAATATCGTCATATTCTAATAAGCCATGCTCATTGTAATTTTAAAAGATTTAACTTACGGTATATTTAGCTGTCAACTATCATTGAAAAAAATCATATATTTTAGTTTTAAAATTTTATCATTTTGTATATCTTTATAGAGCTCTCCTTTTAAAGGAGATTGAAATAGTCTAAAAATGTACCCCCAAGCCTCGTTAAAAGTACATTATATTGTATAATAAAGATAAGATTATGTATCATGTAAACTGGCTTATACTTTCTTATAGTTTCAGACCTCTTCTTTAGCTTCAAAGTGAATATCTATATTTTTGATTTTCTTTAATTATACACAATAACTAACTTAAATTCTTAATACATGTATCACTAAAACATGTATTCAATACAGTGATATTTGTTTTTGTTACGTTATACATATGATACATTACATAAATATACATGTAATACTAAACCTTGACTTGGATTTTGAATTTTTTTCATGTCTAAAATCATAAAATGTTGTATGACGCCATGTGAAGATGGGTGATTTTTTTTCTCTTATATGTTATACATAAAACAAGAAGCTGCTTTACAATTAAAAGTTCCTATGACCCAAGACTTCTTCCAAGCAAATTTTTTATTGTGTTATCAAAATTCCACGTTATATTTTGTATTAGCAAATCATTTGAACAACTTTTTCTATCGTTTTTCGGTCAACTTTTGTTCAGCATTTATAGAAGTGAATACAAGCAATGTCGAACTAAAATTATTGATTTTAAAACTTGTGAAGGATAAAGACACTGACCTATAAAAAAGCGTCCCGATAATGATAACTATTAACAGAATACCTCCAGTTACACCAACTCCAATTTCTAATGTATAATCTGAAAGAAGACATAACTTTTACGATTACAATTTTGCAATTATAAATGTTGCACTAATTTTTAATATTTCTAAGCAGAAAAATTAATTAGCGTTCCATAAAAGTCAATGAAAGAGAAAAAGAAACGTCTTTTATTAAAAAAAAATGTTTTGAAAAGGCAGAACTGAATAAATGGCTGTGACCTACTTTTGGGTTCTATACAATATTCACCACTGTAACCACATGCGGGCTCGTCCACTGGAATCTGTCCGCCTGGCCATGCAATGCTTCTACCCTCGTATAATTCGAAGTCCTAAATCAGACAAAACGATTTAAATATATGCATATACATCGAAATTTATTTAATTAATCTGTTTGATAAAGTTTTATTTGAAAAAATGAGATTTAAAAAAAAATCTTTATATGAAATGGCCTGTGAAGGACACAGTTTTGGCCATTTGAGTTTTTTCCAGTAATTCAGCTTTCAAAATTCAGTCGATATACTCTATGCATATAATCTGTTAATTTAGAAACATTTCACAAATACTTCCATTCAAATCTAAAAGATTAAGAAAACAAAGTTTTAAGTTGCAGGCTTATATTTTTTACATTTCGAGCAAAATTTACTTACAGTGTATTTGACCCAAAATAGTCAAGTTACACATGAGTATACTGAATTAGAGAAATGTATTTGGATCCAATTTATTCTAGTAATTTATAATATTCGTGTACATACTGGCATTTCATCGGAGGTCTGTCTGAAAACCCCCACAGGGTAGAGTCCCCAGATGGATTTTTCGCTTCTGAGGGCTAGAAGTGTAAAATTCCCCTCAGAGTCTCCTCGCTGGTTTATTTTCGTTGTAAAACCCATGGCACCTAAGAAAAATTTCGATTTTATATGTACACTTACAAAGCATATTCAATTAATTTGAATTTCGCATCAAATATGGCAATTAATCATTGCATTCCTCATCTCCGTGATTATTTGGCTAGTATTTTTCTCATTTATTACTCTATTCTATTCTGGTGTTTTTAGAGCTATATTCTCAAATATAAAAAAAAATTCTGATAATAACCATAAATCACCAAGGCAAAACAAGGAGAAGAAATATTCTTCTAGAAATGTGGTCTCTTAAGGGACAGTTATGGACAATCATATCAATTTTCATGTCTCACACCTAAATAAGTGAGTATTCCATTTACAGGGAGATGAATAGCGCGTATTTGCATATCTGTCGAAATTGAATTCGCCACAGATTTAAGGAACACACACACACGTATTATGGCAATGAAGGCACAGGGAAAGAAATATCAAACTTAAAGATATAACTTACAGCTTTAAGATTTATATGATGTACATAACTTTGTAAATTGCCAAGGCAGTTTTGATTACATTATAATAAAGTCAGGCACTTTGACTTAAAATTTAAACGAAAGTTAAATGCTGTGTAATAAATTTCAATTACAGGAAATGATAAATTATTTGAAACTTCCAATTACTTAATATCAATTACGTGAGTTAAACCAATTTAATATGTCTTCATACATGAAAATTGTCGGGAAAGATAGTCAGAAAAAAAAACATTTGTCTCTTTTTCTTGTAGAAATTTGATATTTATTGATATTATATATTGCATAACACCAGGAACATCAGGGAATTTAAATCGGTTTTAAAACAATAACTTTTTTATCATTGAGTTTCGTTAAGAATTTTTTTTTAGATGGTTCCTATTACATGAAATGATTATTACGAAAGAGTAAAAAAAAATACGTTTATTTTCCAATATTTGATCAAATCAACATGTACATGTATTTATATCAAATAGCAAATGATGTACTTGTATTTTACTTTTTGTATTTTACTTATTGTATTATTAATTAATTGTCATTTGAAACATATTTTAATGAGTCAATCCTAACGCTCTCAAAATTTTAAAAAAATCCATTTATTAATAATTTTTCATTTTCAAACAATTTACATTTTGTTTACATCTGTGTAAAAATTTTACAGTTTACGAAGAGATTTATTATATTCTTAATTTATTTGGCTTTAAGCTTTACTTTTATAGGTGGTGTTGATGAGATTTTCTATTATCTTTGTTCCGTTTCTGATGTCTCCTCCTTGTTCTAGAATTTTATGTGCAGATCTTGCATAGAGCCAAACCGCATCGTACAGGTAGGCTGCTTCTGTTCTTAGCTGCAATAAATGCAGAAAAGTGTAATACATTCTTTAATGAAAAGTTATCAGATTGTTGACACAGTAATTTAGTATAACTTCTTTACTAATTGTAATGATTAATAATATTATGCTGTATAGTTGGCCTTCATTATCTCGAACAAGGATATCTCGAATACTGTGGATATATCGAAATCACTTGGAATTCCCAAGTATAATCTCTTCCTTAATGTATTTTAAATTTTGGGGGACTCGAATCCATGGATTTCTCAAAGATTTTCCCTCGATTGCATCCATTTCGAGATAAGGAAGTATATCCGTTTGTTCTAGATAATCTTATTCTCTCAACCGACCAAAAAGAAGTATATCTTGTAGCATTCTTCGTATTATTAAACTTACCCGTTTTTCAATTGTCATGTTGAACTTGAAAGGGGTCTGAAAACTGAATGGCGGTCTTTCAAGGTATTTATTAACTATTTTTTTGAATTCTTCATATTCGTCATAAATTGGTGGAGATTCTACGATGCCTATGAAATACTTGAATGCCTCCAGTCGATCTTTTGTATGATCCTTCCCTCTGTCCGTATCTATTAATTCTGCAGAAACATAATGGAACACGTTTATTTGCATTCATGCCGATACAGAAATATTTACGGGATGTTGAACCAATTTAATGTCTAATAAAAACACCAATGGTCCATCACATTTGCATAACAACCACATATATTTTCTGTCCAAGACCACTTATCTTAAAACTAAAGAGGAAATGCGGATTAGAGAGTAAAGGTAAATTGAGGATCCTGTCAGACATGTGATTTACATTTTAGATGGTTGTTGGTATTGTTACAAGACGATATTTGATGTTTCTAAACACATTATCTCCCTGGGAAAATGTTCTTAGCTTTCATCTCTCTCATTTATAAATTATACTTAAAAATCACTGAACCCGTGAATCTAAAAGAAACTGGAAAGGTTATTTTATGATAGTTTTTCGTGTAGATGTCATTTGATTTGACATTGTGACTGCACACCAGTAGATTGTATTATGATACTCGATTTCAACTACTCTGCTTGAAAGAATTAAACCAAAATATTCAAGATGCATTAGCTGAGAGCATTTTCAGGGAAATCGTTTGATTAGATTTGCATTTTTAGAGACATTTTCTTCATCCAAAGAAAATGTCAGCAAACTGCAATACTACTTTTCCACATGATAATGCCTCACGTGATTATTGGTCTGTTTGGTGCCACTCTTACGATTTTATATTCTGTATACATTGCAATTTTCAACCCGTTTTATTTTCATCCCTTTCGCTCTCATAACATGTGGACGATTTCAAATGCGGCGAATACAAGGAAGATGATATTATCTTTTTCATGCAAGTATGTTCAGGCTAATAATATTGTTTGAAAAAGTGAAAGGGTGAAAATAAACCTGTATTCTTCTTATGTATTATAATTTTATCTCAATTTAGAAATATGAACAATTAATTTCTTATATTTTTATAATATTTTCTGACAAAGAGAAATTAAACAATACAAAAAGGTATTATCACCAAAAAATTACCTTTGATGTATGCATCAGGAGTAATGGTATCACTGTCCGACAAACACACCCCGACAACAAAATATTCTCCCGTGTCCAAAAGTCCAAGTTCATATAAATGGTCCATCAACCCTATAAACTCGTAGTACTGGGCTAGAACTACATAGACTGGAATCAGAGAAAACAATGGCTTAAAAATTCTTATAACATCTGCTGTTTTGATTTTACTAATTGCATCTTCTCGGGCCTTTTCGGCGAAATGGAAAACAGACAACTTGCGTGAAAGGCCCAAGAAGATGCTTTTTTGAACAAAAACAAAATGCAATATATAATTATCATAATTTGACAAACCAAATGCCTCATATTCTGTCTCTCTTCTTTCTTTTCCTTAATAAAATTAAAATACTTATGTGATTTACAGTATTTCAAAAAAGGGAGCTTACTGCGGGTCTTCATTCTTGTTTGCGCTACTATACTGGTAAATGGGTTTTCGGTTTCTCCGTGGAAGTAGGGATATCTATAACTCATCTTGTAGGTGATTTTTATTTTTTCTCTTTTCAACAGCTGTAAAAGAAAGTTTTAAAATATAATTTCTTGGAATAAAGGTACAAATTAAGTCGTAAAGTAATTCTGCACTTCGAAGTAAAGGATGTGTTTGGCGAAAATGGGTAAATTCTAATATCTAGGAAAAGAACGTAAAATGATTTTAAATCAAAAAGTACTTAGCTATCTAAATTTAAATTTTTCTGTCATATTAACCGGCCATTTTCAGCAGGGCTCATTGGTCAATAATCAATACCATTTTTTATAGTTCTGTATTGTTTTAATTGTAAATGGATTACATACACTTTCAATGGTGGCCACGGTGTCAGGTAAACCATTCTCCTGGTTTGCAGTGTGTATGAAAGTTATCTTCTTCCAGTTATATTTCTTCAAAATGCAGACGACACTTGCCGATATTTGTGACGCAGTCGGTTTTGTTCTGGCAAAGGTTGGGTACTTGACCTTGTTACTGACGTCATCTGCTACACAAAACTAAAATAAAGATTAAAAGAAGGATTAAAATGGTTGTGACAGTTAATGAAATATTTTGGGGGGAAATTAATTTACTAAAAGGAATGAAGTTATAAATCAACAAATATTTACACAGATCGGCTAAAAATTGTAAACATTTATCATGTGCAGTATATAGTTTATCGGTTGAAATATTAATGCAAGAGAATCATTAATATACTAGTTTTTTTTATTGTTAAAACACATATTTTTAATACCTGTGTTATAAAATCTTAAGTAGACCTGTAGCAAAAATTTGGTAACATATGTTCTGTGTTTATCCCGTGGGTAAAAATGACATAAAAAATAAAATTGTGACACGCATTAAAAAGTACGTACAGAATTGAAACGTAAATAAAGGATGTGTTCAGATGCAAACAATAAGGTTTTTAAGTCTTCAAAGGGATGACATTGTTAAAAATATACTCGATTGCAATGTTTAAAAATCATTTCTTTCAATGATGTTGAATTTTAAAACAGTGAAGGATTTTAGATTACAAGAAAGAAGAAAGTGTTGTCAAAATTACTTTGCATTTTTTATCTAATACATGAGCTTCATATTGATGGTTGCTGCATGAATTGAAGAAGAATGGTCCATTTTATGAAAAGATCAAAACATAAACATTTTATCTATTAATACATGACAACATTGTTTTAAATTTCACTCTTTTCCGAAGTATGTGAATGCCTGCATATAGCTCTCCCGTAGTTTGATAATCAATGATGCGATAAATGTTGACTTTTTGACATCATAGATGTCGGTAAAGATCAAGTCATTGAATCGATAATTTTTCCTTGGTTATTACTTTCTCTTTATTCATTAATTCTATATACCATCTGATGGGACCTCGTCTTCTAGTATGTGGATACCGGAGACGTCATTTAATATTAAAGTAACAATGTCATCTTCATGTTCTCACACGACAAAGAAACATAAAAACAAGATCCTTAGTCAGCCCCGGAGAATTGCTCGGATCCAAAACAGATTATATGCACTTCTATGACTTCTATGACTTTCTTTCCTCCTAAGAGACGGTCTGAGCGTTTGATCTTATTACAGTATCAGTTCCTCCAGGCCATGTTTTCCTTCACCTTTAAGTAATATTTATGTTTTTTGTCATTTATCTGTGCTAAGGAACTCGTCCGGGTTCTTGTATGAACATATTGTAGCTTGCTGATAATTGCTCAATTTACATTCTTTTTTTTTGAAAATGTAAATTTATTTTTTATTTATTTATTTATCCCAAAAAAATTATAGTTTAAAGACCAGTTCGTTACAATAACATTGTACGTATGTTTGTAATTAAGTAATTGGAAAACATGTATATCTGTGGTTAGTGTTTTATTTTTCACTGTTTTCGCAAAAGCGTTGATGGATTCTTTGAATTCCACTCATGCCTTCATTCCATGACTGTATTTATTTTCTCTTATATTTCATTCTTTTGAAAATATTTTTCTTCAAAAAGTCGATAAACTTTTATTTAGTTTAACCCCCCCCTTTCCTTAAAGAAATTACTGTCCACCTGAATGATAGATGCAAGTTTTTTCAAGTTTTCAATGATAAAGAGAAGAAAAATTCTATAATTTCAATTTTAAATAAAAATTCAATCAATCATTTTTAACTGACAAGTGAAAGAAGAGGGAAAAGCGAGTGCTTTAAAAATAGTTTTTATTTATGATCGTCGAATGATAAGATAATAGCCCACTTAAAATGAATATTAAAAATATATATTCCAAGTACAAAAAGGAAAAATATTTGCCACTAAAAATATAGAGTTCTGATGTTATCTCGAAAAACAACACTCCAAATGATACATGGTGGTCTCTATATTGTCGAAAGAATTTAGCTAATGGCACGTGATGACAGTTAAACGTGTGTTTTTGTCAGCACACAGTTGCAATTTTCTAATTCGTCGACGGAAGTCAATTTTTTTTCTCTCCAATCCAACCAGAGAATGTTCAACCTCTCATTCAGATGTGGTGGTACGCATAGTCGTATCATTCCCACAATGACGGAGTTTGCTTCTACCATTTCCCGTTTTGGGGATTTGTAATCTCTTCACATTAACGACACAATTTTCTACTTTGCAAATTGCTGAAAATCGCTAAAAACTTCAGTAATTTGTAATTTAAGCCACTAATCTAGGATCATTCGTAAGATAATTTACACAAAATTTTATGAGAAATATTACTCCATTCACCAGCTGATGGCGATTGAGCTTCACGCACAAAGCCTTAGAGGTCCTTTCACATGTAGAGACATTGAACGTTGATCCCATCCACCCCATCCCAACCCTTTTGCAGCATCTATTAGATTCTAAAATAGTTTCGAAACAACATTTTGTTTTACGCCATATCTTTTATATATTTTATGATGAAAATTTCCATTACGAGTTTGTTTGTTGTTTAAAATCCCTCTAAAAAAATTTTCATTTATAGGGAGACGTCAATATTTGTCGGTGAAAAAAACTGCAAATTTAAACCTATACTCGGCACTCAGGGCCATCGAACAGTGCAGTAAGGGATCTTTTTTTTGTGCCATCACCTACTGCGACATCGGTTTATACGGTCTCATTCGAAGAACCGGTGTCCATTTATAAAGCTTTCTTCGCGACTCTAGAGCAGACACTCTAGCCACTGCGTCACGCAGACGAAACTTTTTGTAGTACTGAGATTCTCCCTAATTCCATATAATCATACTAAGAGGTAGTAGGGGAATGAAATTCGAAGAAATGTTTACAAGAAAAAAACCTATCTTAGAAATCTTGTAAATCTATACATCTCATAGACAGTATTGATTCATTCAAGTATAATAAAACTGTCATTAATGTTTTTCCATCAGAATTTTTTGTAAATCCTATTTGCGCCAAAAACTGATGAAGTTTCTTGATAACTAATAAGTTCATACACTTTGTCAAAACAATAGCTCTCTAACGAACGTCAAATTTGATGAATGATCATTACATTTCCGCTGCTTAAAGATACGGTAAACCTTATCAAGCTGTTGCTGACGAAAAGTGATCTAGAATATCACTGATGATTACAGTAATTATCCGTTCATATCCGAAAACCAGAATTTGCAACCATTACTCAGGAAATGTGAGTATACAGATGACAATTATTGTATTATATACAGATTTTTTGCTACTTCTCCTGACCTCTAGCTATTTATGCGTAGAGTGTATGTTTTGGCTTCAGGGTTTTTTTTCCTGCTGATTAAATTGAAAAATGTAGTTAAACTGTAAAAACAAGGTGTGAAGGCCAGAAAATTTCATTTAACATCAATGGAAATATACAGTTTGTTGGTGTTTTCAAAGAATTGCTGAAAGCAACATGACAAGCAGAATGTCCAAACCTGTCCATTCGTCTAATATTTAGAATTTCATATGTATAAACCTATTTCTTATCCGCAACTTGTATAACTATTATACCATTGAAAGAAATTTATCGAGATTTTTACAGAATCACTGTTACATGGTGCCAGTGTGTACCTCCTATTTTACTTTTTGATCCGACACAAATTCTTGGTTTCCCATATAGCAATACATTGGTACTGCTATTCTTTCTAAAATATTGAAGGAACCCATCTCTTATTCGCAACTCCTCCTTAACCACTGAATAAAAATGATACTTTCGCAGATTCTTTATTACATAATGCCATTTTGCACCTTCTATTTTACTTTTTGATATGACACTTATTTCGTGTCTCCCAGAGCAATACATGGATTTTGCAATTATTATCACATGGGATACAGGAGTACTAGTAATATTTCGTGAGCAGTGCTCACAATACATCTAGTTTTTTTATCAAATTGTACATGTATTGAGATTGGTGGCCGATAATATACACAGTCTGTATACGCTTATTCGATCGTTGTCAAATATCTATATATTTGGATAGTATTTTTCATTTTCTAACATGCATGTGCACATACAGAATTATTGAATTATTGAATTAAATACAGAGAATGCAAATGATACAATTCTTCCCTTGTTATGATCCTGCTGTATCATTATACATGTACTCCGAAGATACTAGTATTAGAACAGATGCTTTAAACCTGCATGATAAGTGTGAAGTGACATCCATGCACAAAGTACATTCATTGCCTTTCTCATGTTTGCATTGTGTATTCATCAATATATCTACAGATTTCTTTTAGATGTTGATGATGAGTGTAATACCGGTAATAAGGCCACATCAATTTAATTTTTTGTTCCTTGGACATCTGATGAAATAAAGAACGAGGGCACGACAAGAATAAAGGTCGAAGCAAATTGTATTTTTGCTGAGAAACGAGTCTCTTTAAAGAAGTGTTTTATCAGGAAATATTTATTTTGATTAACGTTTACTAAGTATATATCAATTTATAACTTCATAAGCAAGCTATTAAGGACACAAGCATTAACACTGACGCAGGTTTCCTGCTGAAAATTATATTTCACAAAAGAAAAAAATTAAAAATCCACTTGTTTTTCGACCAGCCAGTTGGACTCGAAATGGAAAAATCCATATCTAAACAGGAAACTCAATAAAATAAGGATTTGGCTATTTCATATAAAAATTGCATTTCTTTGGACATCTCCAAATAAAAGATAAATTGGATACTGGATGAAATCTTTGTGGAGTATGGGAAATTTAAGAAGATATAATGTGACAGTCAGGCGGACGGACAAACCGAGCACCAACAACGGAAGTACGCCATGTTGTGACGTTGTACAGAGTCACCTTAACGAAATAAATTCTTTGTAAGGACAAACAGTACGCAGTATGTGATTTGTCTTCGGATTTCTTGTTCTTAATGAAAATGAAATCGAATATAGAATCAGTCAGAGAGAAAAGCTTTGTTGGGGTTAATTAATATTAACTTATTGACGTAGAAAATTTTCTTTTATCCACAGGTTAAATCAATTCCTAGGAAATCAATTCCTAGGAAGGCATAACTTTCTTCATATTAGGCCTTAATCGCTTTGTTTATCAGTGTGGTCTAAAAGAAAGTCTAATTCTCTTTTGTCAAAAATCAAAAAAAAAATAAATAAATAAATAATTCAGCAGCTCATATACATATACCCGCGTTATGTCGAGAAAATTTCCAAGCATTTTTTTTTTTCTTTTTATAACTATTTATCTGGATCCTGGGTAAAATTATTTTCCGCTGGATGCTCGTCGTTTGCTTTGATTACTGAGCTCGATAATGATTTGCTTTCTACTAGTAATTCTTTGAAGCAATTAGACTTTTTTAATGTTTTTTTTTTGACAGAAGTTATATATAATTTTTTTTACTACAGCCCCTCCATTTACTGAAAAGATTGTGTATATGCGTGGAAATGAAGAAAAGTTCGTATAGGTCTTAATGGTGATAGGAAATATGATGATAAAGAAAGGAAGACTTTTTTCCTCTTTTTGTTCTACCTCATCAATAGTTCAAAATATGTCTTTGACAGTAAACGTTTTCTCGTGATTCAGGGGGTTTTATACAAGAAACCCAGAGTTTTTCCTTTACATGCATTTTATACAACGGATTATAACTATTAGCCTTGAAGTTCAAAGCATATCAGCAAGAGAATAACCTAAAAACATGTTACTGAGCAATCTACAGCAGCTTGTAAACGAACATTGGGTCCCCTTTCATTAAAACTAAGAAAGGTTTTATCCCATTGTGTGTTGAAACTTGTGTTTTTAACATATCGATACATATAGACGGAGAGGAAATTCTGACAATTATATGGATGAGATTTTTTATATTCCAAGATTTGATTTTTTGACATAAAAATTGCGTCCAGACTTTAATTTTTAATGGTTTTTTTTAATCTAATTGTATCCAAGCGCGGATGAGTTCGTACCGTTGATTAAGAATAATCTCATTGGGAGAAGTCAATATTAAATGACCGTTTCAGTTTTTTGCAATAAGAAAGATTTTTAAAATCTTTAAAAGACTTTTTAATTTCCTTATTATTTAAAAATAAAATATTTATTAGTTTATGTAGTAGTATATTTTCTCTTCAAAAGTGCCAAAACCTTACCCGTACATTACATGATATATATACGGCATGTAGACTAAAAAAATTCCAGGGAAAACATCGGTAGACCGTACACAACAAAAAAAAATTAACAGATAACTTTCATGTAGTATATGTACACATTAAACTGACGCTATTTATACCCCGTGAAGAAAAATTTACAGACATACGTTATTTTAAGCTGCCTTTTTTCTATTTGAAATGGTATTGTTAATATACTAAAATGTTAAGATGAAATGCAGTCATAAAATATCTAAAGTTATGTTTATGTTTAAAGGAAACTGCTTTTGGCCGAGCCAAATGCACGAAAATACTCCCCGTTAACATGCAATATTGTAATCGTTTAACACTTGCATGAATTTCACAACTGCAATCTTTCCTGTTTGCAACTTTTACATAAATGATATTCCTATTCCGTGAAAAAAATTCTTCCCTAAAAATAAGAAGTACTTATAATGTAATAAACATGCATAAAAATTTTTCTTGAAAATCAAAATGCAAAAATAAAAAAATTGTGAAAACCTATTTGAAACAGATTTTTCTTCATTTTACAAAACTATACACTCTAGTTTAAATTTGATTGTTTGGTTGGTTGATTGCATAATTATTGTTTAATGTCCCTCTCGAGAATTTTCCACTCATATGGAGACGCCGATACTTGCCTATGGAGAGCTACAAATTTTTTCCTATACTCGGCACTCCTGGCGATTGAGCTGTGGAGGATCTTTTTCGTGCCAGCACCTACTGCGACACGGGACCACGGTTTATACGGACTCATCTGAAGGACCGGACTGCACGTTCCACGGTAGAATTTGAACACGCGACGTAAGAATCAACTCCTTACTTCGGGAATCTAGAGCAGACACTCTAACCACTGCGCGAAGCGGGCGACTCTTGAATTAGAATAAGGTTTGACTCAATCCCACACCTTGTCCAACATCCACCTTACCCCGCTCCATAAATGGATTAAAGTCGTAACAATAAAGAAAATTTGATAGTCTTTAATAGGCCTATCCTCTTTTCTTTGAATATGTGGTCGCCCGCGTGGCGCAGAGGTTAGAGCGTCTGCTCTGGAGTCACTAGGTAGGGAGTTGATCCTTACGTCGCGGATTCGAATCCCACTGTGGGACGTGGAGACCGGTCTTTCGGATGAGAATGTATAAACCGAGGTCCTGTGTCGCAGTAAGTGTTACCACGAAAAAGATCCCTCACTGCTCAATGGCCCGTGTGCTGAGCATATGGGACAAGATTGCAGCTTTCCACCGGCAACTGATGGTGTCTCCATAAGAGTGAAAAATTTTCGAGAGGGACGTCAATCAACATATAATCAATTCTTGGATTCTTGAATTCCCCCTACCTCTCCTTGAATATATATAGTATGTACTATCTCTCCCCCCACCATCCCACTCTGAAAAAGCATCCTAAGGTTTCAAACAAAAATAATGAACACTTACGTAAGAGATCATGGGTAAATTAAAGGAAGCCGCTATCCTTCCTTCGTGAACGCACGTCTCCTGCGGACCGATGTAAACCGAAATATTCTGGTCAATCAGCTCCACGGTTTCTTTGATGCTGTAAATTTCTCGTGAGTAGGTTTCAGCCACAACGAATTCCAGGGTATGATTTGGGAGTATGGTCGAGTCATTATTTATCTGATCCTTAGCATAAGTTATCGCCCCTGAAATCCTTTGACCGTGCCGACTACTAAATCTAGAATTGTCTCCCTTCGTTCTGGATCCAGTAATATATCCCATACGGATAACATTTGTAAGATTTGAAGCACTCAGAGCATAAACAAAACATATAAGTAAAAGATGTAAGTATTGTATAGTATACAAATCCATTATTACGCTGTGTAGATTTAAAACATCCTTAATTAAGGAAAAGCTTTATTCTCCAACACAATAAGAATTGACGAAGATCTTAATAGATAAATCCCAATGTCAATAAGGCGAATAACATTTTGATACAGGCACTTACGATGAATTTCGTGCACAACTGGAAATGTTGAACACCGTGTCTGTAATTTTACACCGGTTAAAGTAGTTGAGGTGATTTAGTCGGGACATCTCGTCTGGAAAGATAAACAAAATAACTATTTTGCAGAAAAAATATTTGAACCCTTTAAGCCCGAGAAAACTTATACAAAGTGGCACACATAAACAAGATTAAAGCCGGGGACACAAGTAGGTAAGAAAATTTCCATAACAATGCAAGAAAACAATTACATATGCACAGTTAAAGGATGCAAGTATGTAACAAAAGAAAAGGTGAGGGTCATTCATAAACCGACGAGGAAGTACAAGTGTGTAAAACTGGCTAAAATACCGGAAAGAACGTGTCGCTGAAATTGTAATACGAATCGCAGTTATATTAAGAAGTTCTGAACAACAGGGGGAAGTGTATAATATATTATAGGGATTGGAGGAGGGGGGTCTCCTGTTTACCACCCCCAGGCAGCCCACTGACTAAAATGACCCGAATGAAACCTTTTTTAATTCAATTCGAAAATTTCTCACCCAGACAGTTTCAATCTAAGTCGGGAGGGAGAGGGCAAACAAATCTTCTTTTTAGCTCTACTGGTCAGAGACCAGAAGAGCTTATGCAATAGTAATGCGTCCGTCGTCCGTCCGTCTGTCCGTCTGTCTGTCCGTCTGTCAACAATTTTTCAAAATGCTACTCCTACTACAGTTTTGGTCCGATTTCAATGTAACTTGGCACACAAGTAGACTACACTAAGATACATAATTCTGTGCATCGGTTTTTGATTTCGATGAACGGTGTTGCCGTGGTTACTAAAAATAGAAATTTCTGTGAAATTCTTTCAAAATGCTACTCCTCCTACAGTTTTGGTCCGATTTCAATATAACTTGGCACACAAGTAGACTACACTAAGATACATAATTCTGTGCATCGGTTTTTGATTCCGATAAACGGTGTTGCCGTGGTTACTAAAAATAGAAATTTCTGTGAAATTCTTTCAAAATGCTACTCCTTCTACAGATTTGGTCCGATTTCAATATAACTTGGCACACAAGTAGACTACTCTAAGATACATAATTCTGTGCATCGGTTTTTGATTTCGATAAACGGTGTTGCCGTGGTTACTAAAAATAGAAATTTCTGTGAAATTCTTTCAAAATGCTACTCCTCCTACAGTTTTGGTCCGATTTCAATATAACTTGGCAAACAAGTAGACTACACTAAGATACATAATTCTGTGCATCGGTTTTTGATTTCAATGAACGGTGTTGCCATGGTTACTAAAAATAGAAATTTTTGTGAAATTCTTTCAAAATGCTACTCCTCCTGCAGTTTTGGTCCGATTTCAGTATTACTTGGCACACAAGTAGACTATACTAAGATACATAATTCTGTGCATCGGTTTTTATTTTGATGAGTGGCAAGGATCATTTTTATATTTATTGCTGATTTAAAGTCTCAAGTCCCAACTGCTTATTTTCTCTTCCTTTGTTTTAAGTATAAACCAGTAGAGCTACAGTCTCAACAGAGACTTCTGGTTTAAAGTTTGTCCTCATCAATATACAGGTTTGTGTGAATTGTGCCTATGCATTCTGTTTGCTGGAATAGACTGAAGAGAGAAAAAAACCATGAATTGTGTCCTTTCTGACAATTTTTAGCTCTACTGGTCAGAGACCAGAAGAGCTTATTCATAGGAGGCGGGGGTATCATTTAGTGAGTCCGTCCGTCTGTCTGTTTTTACTATCCGTCTGTCTGTCTGTAAACAATTTTTCAAAACGCTACTCCTCCTACAATTTTAGTCTGATTTCAATATAACTTGGCACACAAGTAGATTACACTAAGATACATAGAATAGTGCATGGGTTTTTAATTTCGATGAACGGTGTTGCCATGGTTACTAAAAATAGAATTTTCTGTGAAATTCCTTTAAAATGCTACTCCTTCCACAGTTTTGGTCTGATTTCAATATACTTTGGCACACAAGTAGACTACACAAAGATACATAGAATAGTGCATCGGTTTTCGATTTCGATAACACACGGTGTTGCCATGGTTACTAAAAATAGAATTTTCTGTGAAATTCCTTCAAAACGCTACTCCTTCCACAGTTTTGGTCTGATTTCAATATAACTTGGCACACTAGTAGTATATTCCCTATTCCTACACTAAGATACATAGAATAGTGCATCGGTTTTTGATTTCGATGAACGGTGTTGCCATGGTTACTAAAAATAGAATTTTCTGTGAAATTCTTTAAAAACGCTACTCCTTCTACAGTTTTGGTCTGATTTCAATATAACTTGGCACACAAGTAGGCTACACTAAGATACATAGAATAGTGCATCGGTTTTTAATTTCGATGAACGGTGTTGCCATGGTTACTATAAATAGAATTTTCTGATATTTAAATATAAAATAAAATTTATATAAATTCTTTAAAAACGCTACTCCTTCTACAGTTTTGGTCTGATTTCAGTATAACTTGGCACACAAGTAGACTACACTAAGATACATAGAATAGTGCATCGGTTTTTAATTTCGATGAACGGTGTTGCCATGGTTACTATAAATAGAATTTTCTGTGAAATTCCTTAAAAACGCTACTCCTTCTACAGTTCTAGTTTGATTTCAATATAACTTGGCACACAAGTAGGCTACACTAAGATACATAGAATAGTGCATCGGTTTTTAATTTCGATGAACGATGTTGCCATGGTTACTAAAAATAGAATTTTCTGTGAAATTCCTTAAAAACGCTACTCCTTCTACAGTTTTTGTCTGATTTCAATATAACTTGGCACACAAGTAGACTACACTAAGATACATAGAATAGTGCATCGGTTTTTAATTTCGATGAACGATGTTGCCATGGTTACTAAAAATAGAATTTTCTGTGAAATTCTTTAAAAACGCTACTCCTTCTACAGTTTTGGTCTGATTTCAGTATAACTTGGCACACAAGTAGACTACCCTAAGATACATAGAATAGTGCATCGGTTTCTGATTTCGATGAACGGTGTTACCATGGTTACTAAAAATAGAATTTTCTGTGAAATTCCTTAAAAACGCTACTCCTTCTACAGTTCTAGTTTGATTTCAAAATAAGTTGGCACACAAGTAGACTACACAAAGATACATAAAATAGTGCAATGAACAAATATCTAATTTGTCCGAACAAATAACTTATTTGTCCGAACAAATTTCTCCGAACGAATTTCTAATTTGTCCAAATTTGATAAGTACATACCAGTAGAGCTACAGTCTCGACAGAGACTTCTGGTTTATTTTATCAAATAAAATCTGCAACATGACTAGTATTAGTGTGATGCTGTATGTTACATATTATTACATATAAGTGCTGCGCCTGTTGTGGTTGTTGTTTTGTTTTTTGTCCTGACTTAATATCGAATATTTGAATGCCATTTTAGAACAACATTTTTAGCTCTACTGGTCAGAGACCAGAAGAGCTTATGCGATAGTAATGCGTCCGGCGTCCGTCCGTCTGTCTGTCTGTCTGTAAACAATTTTTCAAAATGCTACTCCTCCTACAGTTTTGGTCTGATTTCAATATAACTTGGCATACAAGTAGACTAAACTAAGATACATAATTCTGTATATCGGTTTTTAATTTCGATGAACGGTGTTGCCGTGGTTACTAAAAATAGAAATTTCTGTGAAATTCTTTCAAAATGCTACTCCTCCTACAGTTTTGGTCTGATTTCAATATACCTTGACACACAAGTAGACTACACTAAGATACATAATTCTGTGTATCGGTTTTTGATTTCGATGAGCGTTGTTGCCGTGGTTACTAAAAATAGAAATTTCTGTGAAATTCTTTCAAAATGCTATTCCTCCTACAGTTTTGGTCTGATTTCAATATAACTTGACACACAAGTAGACTACACTAAGATACATGATTCTTTTTATCGGTTTTTGATTTCGATGAGCGGTGTTGCCGTGGTTACTAAAAATAGAAATTTCTGTGAAATTCTTTCAAAATGCAACTCCTCCTACAGTTTTGGTCTGATTTCAATATAACTTGGCACACAGGTAGACTACACTAAGATACACAATTCTGCATATCAGTTTTTGACTTTGATGAACATTTTTGCTTTGGTTACTAAAAACAGAAATTTCTGTTAAATACTCTCAAAATGCTACTCCAAATACAGTTTAAGTCTGATTTTAATATAATGTGGCATGCACACAAGTAGACTACACTAAGAACATAAAGAGACTTAATCAAGGATGACTGTTTTTTTATTGCTGTGGTAATGTTTCAATTCCCAACTGCTTGGAGAGAGAACTTTTCTCTTCCTTTGCTATAAGTAAAACAAACCAGTGTGAGAGCTTCAGTCTGTTGTGGTTGTTGTTTTGTTTTTTGTCCTGACTTAATATCGAATATTTGAATGCCATTTTAGAACAACATTTTTCCTTTATCTAATGGTAAATGGTCAGTTTATAAAGAATTAATTACAACGTTAACAAAGTTCCGCTCATTAAACCTGAGTTGCAGGAGTCTATTTGGTTTTTTTAACCGCTTCTCTGTACGGTATACAAAACCGTTAACTGACCCAACCCATGTTTATACATGTACATGCAACCATTTTTAACATTAATTCCTTAGAAAACTATATAAGTAATGCATACTCTTCTTTTAATTTGTCGGAATGGCACAGTAACTTAATTTCCAACAACTGAATTTTGTTTTTGTTTCAGGAAATGCTATTGTAACTCTATATATTCTATTCAATACAGCAAAGTAGAACTTTTATCAATGATTGCAAGAAAATTGATATGCAACTTTTAACAGTTGTCATTCGATGAAATCCGCATTGGTGCATTTAATGTTTTTGGCGACAATACGATTTGTGGGATGAAACCTAGAATTTAATTCATTTGATGGAATTTTATTGCTAAGGTCGCATTTTCAATATGGTTTTCTACTCTATTAGGTAACATGACTAGGAAATAATTAAGAGATGTTTTACTGCTTAGAATTTAAACCTCGTGGCCTTTTAAAATGTGTTTATATGGATTTATGGGGAAAATCATAAATATTTCATTAAAAACATTCAATTTTCCCTTTTGGCTTTGCGGAAGTGCTTCAACACTGTTAAATTGGAAATGGCCTCCTTGGCTCCTGGCGTTAGCAAATGGATGCATTATTTATATCAATGTAAAATAATTTGCAAAATAGTTTATTGTGTGGAAAAAAACAGGTTTCTGCATGGTGATCAAAACAAAAGCATCGAAAGT